CACATTTAATGTTTTAAACCTTGTTGGACATTATTAGACCTATTACAACAGTAAGAGCCAGACATTTGTTTTGTAGTGACTGAAGATAAAGTAAGACAAGACAGAAACTTTTGAAGTGGACAGTTCAATAAATCATATGAATTGATTGGGTGTTAATACACAAAAGGTTGTACCAATTTACTTGGTAATACTTCCAAAATCAAAATCCAAAACCTGGATTGATAAATTTCATATTTATCTCATAAAATGCTAAAATCCCACATCGGTAACTTTCTCCAAATTTTTGCTTATGATTTATGACTCAAATCTCAAATGGTGGGGAGGTTTCACACATGCTGGACTTTGTTTTCATGTTTAGAGTTCAGAGAATTTGTTAACAGAAAAACTTGTGAGGTTTTAGTAACAGAGAGAATTACTCACAACCACACATTACTCTAAAATATAAGACAATAAAAACAAGGAAAACATTGTCTGGAAGGGAAAATAACAGCGTGTAAAAAGAGGACTTGTCATTGCGGGAAAAATGTGCTCAAAACAGGCCTTGGGAGACGTATCCAGCATCACATTTTATCGATTAGTCTGTGGTAACAATGAGGTAGCGTATAAGCACAGACTACATCAGTTCCTAACAATGCAGTCGTCTCACTTTCCTCTGTTTCTCATGAGTCTCATTCAACTTGATCAATGCATTTCATTATAGAAAGCTATGCTGTGTAAGTTTGTGCTTACATGCTAATAACCAGTTGATAGAATTGACATATATCATTCAAATCAGATTACATTCAAACAAAGGGGGAAAACCTCATGCATTTTCCCCTCATGACGTGGTTGCAGGAAATGATTTTCATATGGAAGCCATTTATGCCACAATCTGTCAGAATATCATTCCATGATATTGACAGCATCATCTCCTTCACAGGAATTTGCTCCTAATCTTACACTGGAACCCTCCTCTTGTATGGAGATAGATGCGTGTATGTGCATAATAAACACTAACCACCACGAGAATATTATCGAACAAGCTAAAACCATAGAAAAATAAACCCTACAGGATTTCCCCCTCAAACAAAACCATCTGTTGTTATCTTCCACAATGAATAGAACCTCTGAACACATCCCAATACACTGCATTAGAGCCAGACTTTTACATTTGCATCTTTGTTAAAACATGTTGCATCCAAAACTAATTTACCTAATCACATCAAATGTCCAATTGTAAGCATTACAGTCCTTTGTTTTTCACTAGTACAGCCAAGATGTGTACATGGCTTTCCTCAATATTCAACAGAACATACTAGTCCCTATACACCTCAATTTCAGTGAGCAAAAACAATGGCTCAAATTAACACAGATCAGATGTGAAATCTGGTTCTTTAACCTGCCTACAGCAAGTGGCCTAATACTGCAAACATTTGGCCAATTCAATAAAAATTATGTCTTACAAAAAATGAAAACGATATGGTTTATCTGTATAGCTTACCACAACAGAGTGTGGAGTGAATAAGTATGATTACTAGCATTAGCATTTTGAGAGGCTTTGTCAAACCTCTAAGGTGCAATACATGTGTAAGGCATCATTACTTGAATTTGAATTATTTGGTGGGAAAGTTTAAAAGAGGTCAAAACAAACATTGTTTCAATGGGAATAAGCTGAAATGATATACTGATTGATTCACCGGGCACTGAGACAGCAAAAATCCTGAGAAAGCATTTGGTCTGAAATAGCACTAATATTTGCAAAGAACATACAAGGCTATATTCAACCATTCATCTCTCAAAAGGCCGGACCAAGCACTGGTACACAGTGGGAAAGCCTCTTGTCTGCCAATATATTTCAGAATTTAGTTTCTTGGGTAATGTGGATACCATCAGACATGAGGTAAACTCTAAAACTGCGTCCAGACAAACATTTCGAAGGTGAATGAAGACCTGGCTCAGAAACGCTGTTCCCACCCTCCATAATCTCAGTCTTGGCCTGGAGTACGGACCACTTTATTTTTCATTCACACCTCTGACCTGGTGACGAAGTCTTACAGTGAGGAGATTGAGTGCAGCACGACCCGCGTTAAGACAGGATAGACAGTATCTGACGTCACCAAATACCACAGTAAATACAGAGGATTCCTTTATTCCCAAGACTCTATTCTGTCCATTATCAAAGAATGACAGAGGGATAAACGTAGCACACTAGCCAGAACACTTGCAGTGCACTGCTCAGGATGAAGCAGACACTTGACTTTTTATTGCAAAGGTTTTTTTTTATTACCACAGATATGTAATGAGTGTGCTGGCAATAAATCTTATTATATGCTGCATGTTTCAGGATTTTACTTTGTGAAGTGAAGCTGAGAAACAGGCTTATCTTATCTTCAAAATAAAACAATACAAAGCACCTGTGTGGAGTCTAGGGCTATATGGTAGTTAACACATGTTTACAATCTTCAAACAAGTTGTGTTTTGTAATTTCACTTTATCAGCGGTGACATTGTCACATTGATAAGAATATCAGTGCTTTTAGTGGGATATGTCAAAGAGGGAGATGATAAGAAAGGAATTAACTACATGAGACCTCAGTTTCAAACAGACATAGTTTGCATCCATGTGTGCCTTTCATTTATTCTCTTATCTTGAATGGAATGATGCATTGGGCCCAATGCAATGGAATATATCAAATACAGCAAGCAGATAAAGTTTTATAAAGTTATAATATGCACCAGTTTCACAATTAATTGCACATCTAATCTCTTAAAGCATGTAGCTTAAGTTTTTAATTTATTGTGGTTACTGTCATACTTTGCATTCTCAGACTCGTTCACATTTTGTATTTAATCTTGTCCAAAACATTTTCAGAGAAATAAACCCTCCCTTTTGATTCATGTAAGCTATTGGAACAAAAACGCCTATAATTTCTAAATATACTGCTAAAAAAATTAAACAAACACTTGGTAAACATGTGAAATCTCAATGTGAAAAAAAAAATGTTTGGATATCTATTCAAATATGGACACGGCATTGTCTTAGGACCAATAGGATGCCACCTCCTTTAATGGAAATATAATTACAGAGAGCTTAATTTTATAGACACCTACAAAAATGAAATAACAATGTGGCAGGCTACTCCATTTTGCCAAAATTTAATTTCTTCTTTCTTTCTTTCTTTCTTTCTCAATATCTTGTGTGGCCCCCACATGCTTGTATGCATGGTTGACAAGGTCATGGCATACTCCTAATGAGACGATGGATGGTGTTTTGTGGGATGTCCTCCCAGATCTGTTTAAGGGCAACACTGAGCACCTGTAGAGTCTGAGGAGCAACCTGGAGGCATCTGATCGACCCAAACATAATGTCTGAAAGGTGTTCTATCGGGTTTAAGTCAGCTGATCGAGGGGACCATTTAACTGATTCAATCCCTTCATCGTCCAGGTACTGCCTGCAAACTCTTGCCACATGAGGCTGGGGACTGTCGTGCATCAGGAGGAACCCAGGACTTACTGCACCAGCATAGGGTCTGACAGTGAGTTCAAGGATTTCATCCCGATACCTAATTGCAGTCAGGCTGTTATTTTATATCCAGTAGAGGTCTGTGCATCCTTCCATGGATATGCCTCCCAAGACCATCACTAACCCACCACCAAACTGCTCATGCTGAACCATGCTGAGGCAGCACTAGCGCTCTCCTTGTCTTCTCCAGACTCTTTCATGTCTATCACAGGTCCTCAGGGTGAACCTGCTCTCATCTATCAAAAGCACAGGGCACCAGTGGTGGACTTGCCAATTCTAGTGTTGTCTAGCAAATGCCAATCGAGCTCCAGTCTGCTGGGCTGTGAGCAGAGGGCCCACTACAGGGCGTGGCGCCCTCAAGCTACCCTCTTGAAGTCTGATTCTGATTGACTTGAGACATTTACATCAGTGGCCTGCTAGAGGTCATTCTGTAGAGCATGAGCAGTGCTCAACCTGTTGCTCTTTGCACAAAGGAGCAGATATGAGTCCTGCTGATGGGTTGAGGACCTTCTACGGCCCTGTCCAGCTCACCTAGAGTAACTGTCTGTCTCCTGAAATCTCCTCCATGTTCTGGAGATTGTGCTGGAAGACATATTAAATCTCCTTTCAACAGCACGTCCGACTGTGCCATCCTGGAGAAGTTGGACAATCTGTGCAACTTTTATAGGGTTAAGGAATGGTCTCATACTCCCAGTACTGATTATCACTCCACCCAAAGCCAGCACTAGTGGAAAACCAGCCAAAAAAGACCAAGAGGGAGAAACTTGAAATGATCTCCACATGCAAAACCAGTCCTGTTTTAGGAGTTGTCTCATTGTTGCCACTCTAGTGCACCTGTTGTTTATTTCCGTTAAAAGAGGTGGCATCCTTTTGTTCCTAAGACATTGCCCTGTCCATATTTGTATAGATATCCAACATATATATTTTTTAATATTGAGATTTGATGTGTTTTCAAAGTGTTATTGTTAATTTTTTTGTGCAGTGTACTTATTATTCCTGTTCTAATCCATGCGTTTCAGCTTCATAAAGGGATCATTTTGAGAACTTAAACGACTCAAAACAATGCTAATTTTGTTTTACATTTTTAATAGCTATGGCAACGGTCTTAATTTTTCATTATTCTTAAACCCATAGACAGCTACTTTGGCTGACCTCACCCTTTGATCAGGCAAAGCTGTGAGTCGGGACCATACACCGTAGTTCGGGACTTGGGAACTATCGACCAACCTGTATCCTTCCATGCAACTATAAGGCCTTCCACGTGCAACTAGAGTGGCATAAAAGACCATTTGAGTATTCAAATGAATGTTATACAGTATAAAAGAAAGTTGGAAATATTTAATTATACTTACTATGCAATGTATAGCCGCAGCTGACATTAAAAAAATTCTTGACTTTTCAGGGCACGAGGAGAGTCAAGGATAAGGATATGATGAAGCCAGAGTAGTAGGCATGGAGCTATAATAAGAACTTCCATGGTCGTACGTCGCCCCCTGGTGGCCACAGCTGATCCTCCTGCTCAGTACGCACAGGATCAGTGAAAGATGGCGACGGGAGTCCTTCAAAGAGTGAGCGGGGGCCTGGGTCGGGCTCAAATCAGAACCCGTTGGACCGGACAGCTTGTCGTGTGGTGCAGGTCTGCTTTTAACCATTGTGCATGTTTGACAATTTAATTCTTGCAATGATACCGTTTTTATATTAGTTTTAGACGTCAAAATCAGTGGCCACGGAGATGCAGGGCAAGCTAGCCTCTTAAAAACATTAGCCACTTCCCAACCCCTTCACTGTTTGGGGGTGATTGACAAATTAAAATAGAATAGAATAAAATATATGTACAGCCTTTGTCATCCATCCTTCTGAGATACATCACAATAGACCACACGTTTCTGGTCTGTAAATTTTAGCATCACAGGTATTTGTCAAGGTCAATTCCAAAAATGTTTAATGAAAAGCAAGTCTTTTATTGTCATCTCTGTCTTACCCACCAGCATTCACTGTTAGAGAGAGAAGAATGTTTCTGATTATTTTAATTATATTGTAGGGTTGTTTTGTTCATGACTCATTTTGCAGGGGATTTGCATCAAGCAACCAGAACAGAGAGAACAGCTGGTTTAAGTCCCTCTTTGTGAGAAAAGTAGATCCCAGGAAAGATGCACATTCAACTCTTCTGACTAAAAATGAACAAAGCAACCTTTACAAAATCCAGTGTAAGTCAAATCACAAGCACATTTATGACTGCTAACCAAAATGTTATCCTAACAATCTGTCTCATTCCAGTCCATAACGTAAAACCGGAGTGCTTGGATGCCTACAATAAACTCTGGTGAGTAAATAATTACAGAGTAATTTTTTTTTTGCCAAAGACAGGTGTGGCCGCTGTGTAAATAAAGTGACCAACAGTGTAAAAATAGTTCAGTTCAGTCTATTTCCGTGGAGTGATCGACGGGCTGTCTTGACTATAACCTTGCTCATGCTTTGGGTGTCATAGGGCAGCTACATATGGAGCTAAACTGGGACTCACCAGACACACGATCACAATCACAGTTGTTGTTGTAGTTCTTGAACATACATAAGTTCACTGTACTCAAACATTTTTAATACATAAATGTAATTATATCTTTAACACAGTGAGGATGTGTTGCCATCAATCCATGCTGACAAATATTATCCATGTGAGCTGGTGGGCACATGGAATACCTGGTATGGAGAACAAGACCAGGCTGGTAATGTAGTTTACTGAATTAATTTTGCATAAATACTAAGCAAATGTAAATTTGTCTTTGTATAATCATTTTATAATTGCATCTATTTTAGTGCATTTGTGGCGGTACAGAGGTGGCTATCCAGCTCTTACAGAGGTGATGAACAAACTTAGACAAAACAAGGTAAAATCTTTCATCATCGTTGTTATTTTGTTGTAAAGCTGATTCTGCTAACCAAAATACATTGCTTATCTGCAGGAGTTCACAGCATACAGGAAAGAGCGGGGAAAGATGTTGTTGTCTCGCCGAAACCAGCTCCTTTTGGAATTCAGTTTCTGGAATGAACCAACCCCCCGGGAAGGTCCCAACATCTATGAACTAAGGTCCTACCAACTTAGGGTGAGGCCAAAAACACTACCAACATATGTAAAATTAAATCAAATTCCTGTATTTATTTAGCATATCCTATTTATGTTACACTATACTAGTATGCAGATGTATAATGTTGACTTTTGTGCAGCCAGGAACCATGATTGAGTGGGGTAACTACTGGTAAGAGTCCAAAAAATTTTAACTCCAAGAACTATTGTGTTAAATGCACACAGACCAGGCAAGCTTTAGTATTTTGTCTTTATTTTCAGGGCGAGGGCCATTGGGATTCGTCAGCACAACAGTGAAGCAGTTGGAGGGTTTTTCTCACAGATAGGAAATCTTTATATGGTTCACCACTTATGGGGTAAAGTCTCACCTATTTTTTGAGTGTACTGTGTGATATAATATATTTTCACTTTGCTAAAATGATTAATTACACTTATTTATCAGCTTACAAAGACCTCCAGTCCAGAGATGTTACGAGAAATGCTGCATGGCAGCAAGAGGGTTGGGATGAGGTTGTGTATTACACAGGTGAGCAGTCCTTCGTTTTTATTGTATCATATGAGTAACAATTTCTCAGATATTAACAACTGTTTTTGAACATTTTAGTTCCTCTTATTCAGCACATGGATTCAAGAATAATGATTCCTACAAAGGCCTCTCCATTGCAGTAAAATGTCTTATGACAACTCTTTTCAATGGCACTGTATATCTATTTAGTGAACTGAACTCTGATAACCTCTGATCATTGCTGCCAAATCATGTTGTTAGTCAATGGTTGGACTAATTCCAAGATAAAGGAACAGGTCCTTGGTTGTGTGAACCATTAGTTTAATTATAAACCCCACCAAAGGTACTTGAAATCCTGAGCAGCTGTTTTTGTACATTTCTGACTACTGCTAAAAATAATGCCGTTTCGTTTCAATACACATTAGTTTCAAAACTCTGTTTTACTTTTTTTTTTTTTCAGATGTCTTTTCAATGTGTTTCTATTTATTGTCAGAAAATTTATGCTGCATTTTGGCAAATGCTGCCTCCAGTCTAGGTGGTTTTAGGACACAAACCACCCATGTATTTGAGATTTTGCCATATCTATGATCATTAAATGTATTGTAATGTAAAGCATGTGAAAAGAAGATAATTAAAAATGTATTTAAAAAAAAGAAGCTTTGTTTACATGGATTTTTAATACCTGTGTCAAATGACATAAGCCAGGACATAGAATCACATGGTGCAATCAAATTTAAAACATACAGCTTATTGCACGTTTCATAATAAGCAAATATCTTTTTCAATGTGATTTATAGTGCAAAAAACACTTCGACCTAGCTATTTAGACAATTTGATTACTTTTTTAGTATAAAATCAAGGAGGAAAAAAAAAGCATATTTAAATGTGTAAACATTTGGAATAATAATAAAAAATACTATTGATATACTACTACGAACTGACGTTCAGGTTAAGATAAAAAGCACATCAGTTGTGCAAATATAAAAAGTATATTGTTAAAATGGGTAATAGAGGCCAGCCTCCTTAAATCTTTTCCAGTTCCTTTAGCAGCTCTTCAAAACTTGTAATGTACCATGAACACTTCTCTTTAACTTGCTGTCTAACTACGTTGCCACCGAACCCTATAAAGGCATTCTAGGAAAGAAAAGTTTATTAGATCTAGTAAATTATATGGCACATCAAAAGATATCAGTGCACTCAATGCACTTACAGCAGGAGGGCATGCCTCAAGGTCAGTAGCTCCGTCTCCAATCATGACCACAGTCTTGAAGCCATGCTGCTCTTTCAGCATGTTGATGACTTTTCCCTTTCCACCACTTTCAGCTGTTGGCTGACTTTCATCAAATCCAGCATACTCACCTGGAATAACAGGTTTGCTTTCACTACATGGAAGAGCTTAATGCATGAGAAAACACAGCATTTCACCAGTCATACCATTAAAGTAGAACTTAAGTCTGTTTGCATAAACATGGTGCAAAGGAATATTGAGTTGAGTAGCAACATGCTCAACAATGCAACGGAAGCCTCCTGATATAAGAAAGACTTTAATGTTTCGCTGATGTAAGCGTTCCACTAGTTCCCTGCAAAAATAAGCAAAGTAAATATTTGTTAAGGTCAGAGGGAACGCCTTTGACTTTCTCATAAATCATCTACAAGATAATGTAATCATTTTGTTTGTGGTGATTAGATTTACCTGATACCTGGAGTCAGCTGAGGAGGGTGGTCTGTTATCAACTTATTAACTTGTTCCCTTGAACATCTAATGATGGAAAGACGCTCTTTCAAGGCAGTTTTAAACGTCATTGAACCACCCATTGCCTTGCGAGTCCTAAAACAAATTTAGACATTTCCCTGTTAAATATGTGACAATTACAATGAAACTGGGTACAGTGTGTGACCTTACATCTCCGTGACTGCATCTCCTACTCCACAGAATTTGGCCAGTTCATCAATGCCCTCTTCTTTGATTACCGTGCTGTCCACATCAAAACAAACAGCATCTGCTCGTCTGAAGAGCTCCTTTGTCTCCGACTGTGTCAACATATTGCTGAAACACAAAAAGTTGTATCACTGAAGGAAAACAGCATTGTGAAAAATATGCACTGAACGGCAGGCATTTATCTGCGGGCATCACCACTCTGGCTTTAGCTTGGCATCTTGACTTGAGCTCTCGCTGAACAAGCGTTCATTGTGCAGCTTAAACCAGCATGTGATGAATATACATGTATTGAAGCAGCAAATCCATTGAGACAAAGCTTAAACAAAACACGTGTCCTGGGCCCAATGAAGTGACAAAAATGCGTTACATAAAAGAGCCACACGACAGGCCATTGTGGAAACCTTCAGCCCAGGTTGCATCACCCTCGCAACTCTACTGTGAGGCATTAAGGCAACATTAAACATGCAACTTTATAGTGACTTACCTCAAAAATATAGACCTGCTGTTCTTTTACTCTTATCAAACTAATTTCAAAGCATTGTTACGGGGGGAAAAATAAATGACTGACAGTGGATCCTCTACTATGAGAGCATTCTTTAGCGCCGTTTCTCTTTGGTGAAGAGTTAAGCGTACAGTGTCATAATGTCAGCTGAAGAGGTATAAATATGCAAAAAGAATACTATCTGCAGGATCAAGAGCCACCAAGTGATGTAAAAGAGAATATTTGCTACTTACCGAAAAGGATTGTGGCGGAGAGATTCCGAAAGCTGCCTGTGCAGAAACTGCCCCTTCATCAAGTCCAGAAAGAAAGAAAGCCCGACCAACCAGAGCAAAGCCGGCTCTGTGACGGCAGCACCAGGGACCGCCCAACAAATCCTGTCCAATCATGGGTCCAATATATAAAACGTACACATTTGTTTTTTCTATTTATATGTACGCCAATAGAAAAAAATAAAAAATACTTACCAAAACAAAACGAATCAAACAAAATCAATGTAGATATTAAATAAGGTGTACTTTAATTGAACATCAGTCATTGACATATTTGCCTTATTTGACACCAGTCTCTTGCTGTCTTTTTTGCTACTTATTTAGATTATTACTACTTATTTATGTATTATTACCATTTATAATTTATATTTTTTAGATTTTTTGTTATTATATTATATTTTGATGAGTGAGCTACTGTGTCGAAGTAATTCCCCTTGTGCATGGCGGATCAATAAAGCTTGTCTAATTCTAAGTTTAAGTTTAAATAAGATATCTATGAGCATTAAGAATCAGATAAATATTCTATGGAGTTCGTCCATAGATTGTATTTTTCTTTTTTTGACATTCTGCAGTTTTGAAACACTAGGTGGCGATATCCTGGCAGCTTAAACAGGACAGACTAGAGAAGAAGTGCAGTCTGTGCTCTTTCCTCGTGGCTGAAGCTTGTTATTTTCATGAGAAGATTGTGGAGATTTATCTAGCTTTAAAGACAGAAGACAGAAGTGTCACTTGTGTATGAATGGTAAGAAAATGTTATCTTATCCTGGTACAGCTGCATGGACGAATTCTGTTTTACTTGAACGTAGTAAATGCAGTCAGACACCATGCTACAGCAAAGTTCATGCCAACGTTTTATTTGGAGTAATGCTCTTATGTGCATTTGTCCTGTGTTGATGCGAACACAAAATCATATCTAGTTCTTATCAGAACTAAGTTTTTGTTGTCGTTTTTTCCTAAATCCCCCCTTTATTTTTCCAGTTTGACCAAATCTTCAGTGAGACTCGGTCGAGACGATTCTTCACACCATCTGCCACGTGGATACAGCTAAAGTCTAATCACCTGTAATTTCAGAATAACAAATCGTGCATTATTCTGAAACATACATCACATGTTTTCATTTTACTTTTCAATTCTGAAATAAATGGTTCAATTGTTTTAAAATGTTTTATTTGTTTTGTATAATGGGTGTTTAAGTGACAAGTGGTTACAAGATATACACAATAGTTAAGTACATTCTAGTAAGCATAAAGTAAACGTTAATATTTTCTAGTTTAAAACATGATCTTAAAAAGCTTTCGTTACTTCTGCATAAAACGTTGAGCCCATTGCTTCACATTTCCATCATAGTAACTTTTCCTCATACTTTCAGAACTTAAAGTTGCTGGAAGTTTGGGCACTATGAAAAAGAAGGACAGGTGGAGATCTCTTATGCACCAGATTGGAACTGATCTGTAATTAATTTAGGCAAGAGTATAATCTCAAGGTTTTTATATGGAGAGGTATTGAAGCATCACCTAGTATGGATTACTTCCAGGTGATGTCCCCTGAGAAACAAGTGCATTAAATATATACATTTTACCACATGTTTTGAGCAGGCTCATCGCCCTCTGCTATAAGTGACAACAGGATTGCTTTAGGAGTGTTCTCAAAAAGAGCTGCTCTGTTCTGTGTTTGTCCCTTTTTGACCCAGTGGCCATAGATCTTGAATGCACAGGCATCTATCAGCTTGCGGATGGGCTTGACTGCATAAGGATCACTTTTGATTACCTCCTTGGTAACAGGCTTAGCTCGCCGATAATTGCAGTAGATTCTCATAGTTGCAAGCACTGTCATGCAAATGACCTAATGGGATACATGTTCAAAATTAGCATTTTATACCACTGTACAATCATTTAAGTCAAATCTGTATATTATCCTAAAAGGTAAAATGTGTATCATATTGATGTAAACTAGTCTAAAATGTATAGCTTTTATTAACATCTCACACAGTATCAATTTCTAATTGGCAGAGCTTACCTTAAACCTCCTATATGGGCTGAACTGTCTTACTTCATCCACCACATACTGTGAAAAGAATGGGTGACTGAGAGCTTCAGTTACAGTGTAACGATGCTTTGGGTTCACAACCAACATTCGGGAAATCTAAGAAAGAAGAACATTTTACTACTTCCATCTTTTGGCCACTGGCAAAATTAGAATAGTACACTGTGTACCAAATCCTTGACAGTGTCCGAGCGATCATCCCATTCTGGAGATGAAAAGTCATATTTTCCAGCTAAGATCATACGCAACATCAGCATCTGTTTCCTGTGCCAGAAAGGTGGAGACCCTGCAAGCAGGGTGTACATGATGACCCCTGAACTCCACCTGCAAACAGATAAGGTAAGGTTATGTTGCACAATATTTTACCCTATTTAACAGTACATAGATCTCCTAGTTTAGTTTATATTCATGCATTTACTCACAGATCTACGGCAGAACCATATCCGCTGTGTGCTGTATCCATGGAACATTCAATAATTTCAGGAGCGAGGTAAACCGGAGTTCCACATACCTCTAACAAAATATTAAGAACATTTAGTCATTCTGTTGCCATAATAAACCTGCTAACCACTAGCACTTGGGTCTACTATAAAGGTCAAGTAGAGCTCTCAGTGTCCAGTTGCATATATATAACATTTATAAGAGCACAGCTAAGAAGAAGGTGGAACAAATTGTACAAACATTTAATCCTTTTCCAAACAGTCTAAAAGTAATTTGGATGAATAATTTACACTAAAAATATACTGTTTTCTATTGAGTATTTGCTTTAAAGACATGAATGACCTTTAAGTGTCTGCCCCGGCTGAATTTGTACAGCAAATCCAAAGTCTGTGAGTTTGATGTTCATGTTGTCATCTAGAAGGATATTTTCAGGCTTCAGGTCACGGTGGACTATGTTCTGGGAATGCAGAAACTGGACAACTTCAAGTAAAGCTCGCATTATCTTCCTACAACCAAGATGATACATTTCTTTGTGTATAACAAGGGACTTTATTTTCATGTCATTTTCATGTCACTGACCTGGTTTCTTTTTCACTAAGGGTTACTTTCTCTGTGAGGTAGTCAAACAGTTCACCTCTCTTCATTCTAGAGAAAATATTTATCACATGAAAAAGCATTTCAAAATAACTCAACATAACATAATACTTACAGGTCAAAAACAAGGAAGTAAAAGGCCTTTGACTCATAGCAGTCTTGGAGTTGAACTAAAAAAAAAAAAAAATCAATTTGTGATCTTCTGTCCCACACATGCAAACCAACAAGAAACAATGTCTTAAAATCTTAACCTCTAAGAACCACACTTTGTGAGGAAATTTAGTTCAGTATCTTTCTAATCAATCCCTGTGTGAAGGAATTCAAGTGATTAAATAATAAGAAAAGCACTCTTAACTCTCTAAAATGTAAATCTTTTTTTTTTTGAGGAGAAAAAAAATCCCTCCTTGTACTCTCTTCTACTGACGTTAGTGTGACTAAAGCGTCCAGTGTGTAAGTGTAAGTGCATTTTTATCCATCTATTTTAAAGACATGTTCCAAGCTCTTACTGATGTTCTTCTGCCCGCTGACTTTTCTAAGAATGTCAATCTCTTTGACTGTGGCCTCTCTGATCTCCTCAATCTCTTGTGGAGTCATCTTGTCTGAAGGAGTGATGTCAATGATCTTTACAGCATACTCCTGAGAAGTCCGTTTGTCCACACATCGACGGACCACGCTGCTCACTCCTCTGGAAAAAAAACAAAAAAAACAAAAAAAAACACAAACTCTATCAGAAACTAGAAGCTATGTGTTTTTATATAACAAGAAGACAAAATGTTTTTTCTAAACATAATCTATTATGTGCCCAAACTCCTATTAACTCTGTGCTTGTTTTGACATCTAGATTCACCTCACTCTGCAATATATGGATCAATTATTCAATGTTTCAAATCTTGGCTGCTTTGAAAATGTTATAGTAAACAGGCTTAGCCTATGTTTTAAATTCTAATGTAGTCCTTATGTATGTGTATGGTCTATTGCCTGGAACCTATAGATCAGAAACTAGGGTGGCCACGTTATTTTTGCCACCACAGGTTAATAAACAATAAATAAGTATAGAAATGATAGTTTTTGCATGTTTTATTATAGTTAATATATAGAAGTAACATTATTTAAATGCTGAATCTGTCCTTTTTGATTAGTAGGGGCAACAAGTGACATAGTGTATTTATTCCCAAAATTGTATTGAATAAAACTACTCAAATTTGACAGATGATTGAATTTGAAGAGACGCTAAAATAACAATGAAATGTGTATTCACTTTGCAACAATATCAACACAAGAACTGAAAATGTGGCCCTTGTGTGTGTGTGTCTGCGTGTGGGCACACTTTTGTTCAGATCAGGATTCTAATGAAAAGGTGTTCTTAGATATTAGTCTAAATTTGACCCAGAGCATCACTGAGCTGCAAAACACTGGAGCACGGTGTCCCCAGACCAAATGCCATAAGCACTGGCCTCCAGTAACTACGTAAAATTGCGCAAGAGCGCGCCCCCTTCAGACAGCATGTGAAGAATGACAATGAGAACCCTGGCACTACTGCCGTGTCTTAAGGGGGCTTCTAGGAAATAGTACAGTCTTACATCACTGCGATTCCCACTGAAGGAATGGTGCACGTGTTTATGAAATAGCTGAAGGTCATCTATTCTATTGCTGGGTGAATGTGCGTTTATGAAGTCCTTGTTACCTTCCCAATATCTCCTTGGGGTCATATTTATCATAAAACTCTCTTGCTCCAACCCAGTCAGGCAGGGCAATCTCCTCCTCTTTAGTCATGATGGATGCCGCCTTTCTGGACTTGGCTTGTTCTACTCTTTACAATGATCTAAACAAAGATATTGGTTACACGTTAAAGCAAATTAATAGCCTGTAACACCAATGCTATGTCCAGTGCCACACGATTAAGCATTTCACACAAGCACATAGACACAGCACATGCATACCAATTCACCTTGTCTACTGTGATTACACAACACGAGTTTAAAAGCAATCATTTCAGGAGGGACTATAAACTTCCCTTTCCCCAGTGGAGAATGTCATAGACTTAAAGGATTTTACAACTACTGTCCCGTTTGTAATATTAGACTTTAGCGAGGTGGAAGCTCTATTTAAATTAGACATTTCAAATAAGCAAAACTCACCGTATCGTTTAATGCTATGATTTTCACTCTCACTCTTTACTTTTGCTCGTCCATGAGGCGGTCAGGGCTTGGCACAGTCCAGTCACCGAGGTCTGACGGGTTTGTGGGTTTACTTCCATTGCAGAGGGGTGAGCTCTAATGTCAGGCGCCAGAAATAAATGGCAGCTTTCCTCGCACTTGCTCACACGTCATGTAAACTTAATCTTAGAGGAGTCCAATAACAAAGACTTTAAGAGGAAATAATTATAATAATTAAATAATATAACAAACATTCAAAGATGAGGGGTTTCTTTTGCAGTAATTTCTTAAATAGACATTAGCTTATGAACCAAGTTTAATTTAAGGTCAAGCGGCAAGTTTAATAAAACAAAGCGGCAAAGTCAATAAACTTGGACACATTTATTCTGATTAGTTGAGCTTTATTATTGTAATTGCAAATGAAGTCAATAGGAAACAGTGATTTTTGCAAACTATAGCACAAATGCCATTTGCCCTGTAATAGTAAATGTATGTGGAGGAACATTATAACAATACTAAAAAAAAAAAAAAAAAAGTAGTATTTAAGTACTTAATTTAATATATATATATATATATATATATATATATATATATATATATAACAAAAGCCAACAGTATCTATATGTGAAATGACTGATGTCTATAAATATAATATAACAATGTCTGACTAAAAAGCATTCATTTGGTATTCTGTTTTTATTATTTAGTAGGATGATATCTGCAGTCAGCTGTATCATGATAGACCTATGGAGAAAGAAATATTTAGGGCACATCAGCAACAAATAAGTGTACAGGGTATGCATTAATCCAAACAATCATTCTCATTTACCATTTGCAAACTTGCACTGTTTGAGCACCTCACTGAAGCCTTCACAGAGCTTGAGGTCGCTTTGAGTCTGGGCACACTCAATGAACTGTTTGAGCTCATATGAGCAGGCCTGCTGCTGCTGCTGAGGCTCTTGTTGGTACATGGACTGTGGCTGCTGGTACATAGGCTGAGCCTGGTATGGTTGTGCCTGGTAGGGCTCCTGACAGAACATGAGAAATGGTTAGGCTATAACCATCTTAATATGATTTTATTTACAAGAAGACATGAAAAGGCAAGAAAAAATGTTTACTAATGAAAAAACAGCATAGATGAAGAAAAGCAAAACAGTAACATTAAAAATACACAATACAAATACTACAAAAAATGTCGAAAGTAATTCTGAAAGACACAATTGCACAACTACAAAATGCACTTCACCACTTTTTTAACTAGTACTTTCAATTTTCAAAACAAACACAAAAGCTAGCATGTTGAATTCAATAGCACTGTCCCTGGTACCTGGTATGTGACGTCAGGCCTTGCTGGTTCTGAGTGTCCTCCGCCGAATCCTCCTGTCATGGCATGACCAATGGTATGGCCCACTGCTGAACCTACTGCCACCCCAGCGGCTGTAGTTGCCATCTGGGCAAACATACCAGGCTGCCTGGGAGCTGCTGGAGCCCCAAGGGCCGAAGGAGGTGCCTGCATAGGAACAGGAGCATGGGCAGGAGGAGGTGCAGCCCGTGCCATGGGAGGAGGTGGAGGAGGGGCCCGGCTGTAGAAAAAAAGACACTTTCAATCACAGGACATGATACAATCATGTAATTAGACAAGTCTAAGGTTAAGGTACACTTAATTGTCCCTGTTGGGAAATGTGTCCTTCGCACATTTTGGGTTGAGGCTGAAATATTCAGATAGATGATGAATTGCATTTATTCCACAAAACAGAGGCTGCTGCATTAGAATTCTACAGTAAGAATTTGCACATCGAGTGCTGAACAAAAAATGTTTCCAAAGGTTATTGCTCCTCCTTTACAGAATTTCTTCACTGGACATGCACACACAGGACTAGGGTTACAGGTAACAATCATTTTAGGACTTGACTAGTCAGCGAGTAATTTTCAGATAAGTCTACTACTCAAACAGTTATTTCTATTATACAATGACATTTTTAAAATACATTATCAACCAAATAAAGGTTATATGTGACTGAAGTCTTCTAAATAGAGAATATTTATGAATAAAGTATTATTGATGACATTTTATAATTATTATTTTTTTGACATTTTGATTCACTAAGGCTGCAGTCTTTGCAATAAAAATGTGTTTTTTTTGTATGTGTAGTCCAGATGATAACAATAAAAAAATATCTTTAATAGCTGACTATTCCCGATTAGTAGGTGAAGTGTTGCAGCTCTACAGAACTAAAAGAGTTTTAGTTTTCTGTGTTACTGGCATCACTGGGGATCAGTTTACTTCAGTGGAAAACTTAATTTAAGTTTATGCTGGCACCTCAAACTGTAGCTGGTTGTGATGAGATCTTTTTGTGATGCACAGTGTCTTTCTGTAATTGCTACTTTTTCTAAATGGGTATCAGGTGATACAGCCTCATAGACTCATCTTCATCACAGGACGGCACGTGGAAAAAAAAAAAAAAAAAAAAACTAATTAGGCAGCTCACTACTATGTCCTTTCGGCGCATTTTTGTTCAATTTCAATCTTTTATACGTAGTCTAAGATTTTGATGACCCCCTCGACTGTTTTATTTATAACACTAAACTGTACAGCTATTACCAAATGACGTTATTGTTTCCAAACGTGACCTTCACAGAAACGTACCTTGAGCTCTTTGGTGTTATTATCCAGGATTGCGCTTGATGATTTATTTTTTAAGATATCTCACAAAATAATGAGACAATAACAAACATCGCCATTAAAATTGAATGCAATTTATGAAACTAAAGTCGTTCGTTACTTTGCCGTTCGCACCGTGTTCCTCTGATGTCTTACTCCACGGTCTTACTGCACGGTCTTGCCCCATGATCTTACCCCTTGGTCTTACCTGGCTGGAGGGGCGACCCTTGACGTCCGGCTTCTGCTTCCTCTCGGCATTTTTATTCAATTAATTTCGTGTCTCTGCTATAAACTAAGCAACAGAGTAATTTAAGAGCACGGATTAAGAAGCTTCCGTCCGACCTTAGAGCACTCCGGAACTTTCCATGTGTTACATCATTAGAATCCCGAGTAACTTCCGTTCTGTCTGTTGTTAAATAACAAGAATAATGCGTGGCTTTAAATTGTTTATATTTGTCCTAAAATTATACAATTATTATTTTTATTTTAAAATGTGCAAGAAACTCAATTTAATAAAAATAAAATATATACAAAATGTATAAATTAATTATTATTTTGTATTCATCTCAAACATAAATCAAACATTAAGAAATGAAGATTCTAGTGGGCCTTTTTAATAATTATATTAAATTAACGTTTTTTCTTTTTTTTGTCAGCAAATTTGCGCCATTTCTGGTTTCCACCTCCTCGCCCTGATCTGTGTCCTGATCTCCGATCTTCCCAGGCTGGCATTGGTGGCTCTATTTCTCCTGGTCTCCCGCCGCGATCTGGGACATCTCCCATCTTCACCTAATGGCAATATAAAAACAATCATTACTCTAAGTCAAAAAAGAAAAAAAAGAAAAAAGAAACCTACTTTATAAATCGGAGTTGTATTCCCTGGGCGGATTGGTTCATTACAAGACTGATTCACTCTGGCAGCAAGAACATGATGCAGAGACACGTCAGAGGGGCCATCTAGAGAAGCAATCTGAGGAATTGTGTCTAGGACTTTCATTTTTTCCTATAAGCAAACAAAAGATAGAACCAAATCAATTTTGAGATAAATCAACATTATGCTGTTTTGTTTTAGCTTACTTTGACAATAACACAAATACAACATTATTTTTGTAATACTTTGTTCTAAGGCTCTAGGCAAACAGATCAATAATCCCAGATAAAGTAACTTTTTGCAGTGAAGTTTGATCTTACCATTTTGTTGTCTCCCCATGCAAATGATTCAAGTGTTACTTGAAAGCGTTTGATCATCATTTGTCTCCGACACTTATAATCTTTACACAAAATTTCATTTAGTTTTTCAAGTTTGACCTACAGAAATAAAAATAGTTCAGAATTGCTTCCCAAATATCATGCCATTATTCTAAATATCTACCACATACAGAGTAAAAGTAAACTTACCCACTGCTCTGGACTAAGACTGGTGTTTAGAAGAGGGCTGATGGCATCAGATGGTAGGTTTGTCATCCTTGACTCTACCTGGAAACACAACCATATTTATGTGCCTTTTTTCACAGCACAACACATTAAATCAGTTTGTACAGATAAGTAATAACTCACTTCATTCGAAACATCTGTAATATGTGAATTTGCATCCAGCTTAAGGGTTTTGAGCACCAGCATCCATTCATCTTGCATACTGGCATCTTCATATTCTGGACAAATCTCCTCAGAATTCAAGGTGACACACCTTTGCTCTTTTGGACATTTCTCTCCTGCTTTTTCTTCAGAACATAGGTCCTTGTGCTTGTTGATGATAGCAGCTTGCAGTTCTGAAATAAAGTAATCTAAGAAACAAAACATACATATAATGAGCACTTATTAAAAAAAATTAACTCACTGAACCTATTTGATTTCTCTGCACAGGAAATTTCTCACCGGTAATTTTATCAATTGTAGATGAGTCCAAAACTTCAAAGGTCAGAGCAGCCAGAGGAGATGACATTTCCAACAGCATATTTTTGAGCTCATTAGCCAACATTAGGTCACTCCCTCCTCCTGAATCAGAGACTCAGAGTTTAAAATGTAATACATTTTTTAAAAGTGCACTTTTAAAACCCAACAATTACAAGTCTACCTTTTAGCTCAGGGCAATGCATTTTTAGCTGCGTGCACAGCCAGGTGAGCAGTGGACAAGGAAGTTCATCACATTGGCACCTCCTGACGCATGCCGTGTCCACGTACCTGAGCAGGAAATGTTGTGAGGGAGTTATTATCAATTATTTCTATTCTTAATCGCTTCTGTATATCTATTACATGTTTAAAGATCTTGTTTTTTAAAGCCACGTTAAACAATCTTAGCCAAAAACTAGTCTACGAGTTGCTAAAAAAACATAAGAGGCACATACCCTAAAGATTTAATTGCAGAAACTGTTCCGATGTCCCTTTGCATTATTAGTTAGTCTTTAAATAGCCTTTTCATTAAAAGTTGTGTGCTACTTTCACTTTGCGTCCTCTTCCAAGTCTCCTCACGTAGATCTATCGTCGCATATCGCCCCCTACTGGTTGGCGTGATCTTTTATATTTATCGCCTAGCTGTAGTAAGAAGTCCTTCACCACAAGATGGCGATATCACCGTTCACTTTTCTATAGTAATTTCTGATTTGATCTATAAAAGGGAGGATCCGTAGAATTTGTAGTAATTGTGTATATATATGACATAGGTTTACGAGGATAGGGATTAACATGTTCAAATCAAATATTGCTTTGTATTTGTTTTCCCTGTTGCTTTCTATTTATGATAAGGTATCTCTTGGTGTTTTTGTGTTTGGTTTGCTCAAAGTTGGGACGTTAACTAAAATTAAATATACTAAAAATAAGTCTCAGCCATTTCAGGAGGTCTCAAACCATAAAGAAATGTACTTTACTTTTCAGTTCTCTTCTAAAATGCAGTGGAGTGGAAAGTAGAGATGCCTGCTTTCAAATATAGTGAAATAAAAGTCCACTGGAAAATGTGCTTATAGGTAAAGTACAGATACCTAAAAACTGAACAGATCAGAAGACTAGCGTTTATGCCATTTTTTGCCTTTTATCTTCTCAGGCCATATGTACAAAAACTGTACCCCCCTGTGCCCCCCTCTTTCACAATGCAGTGCCATGCGTCAGGATGCCTCGTCTTTTATTCCCCTAACACTGGGCCCGCTTCAACAGCCTCAAGGGTTTTGACCTATGAACTTTGGCAAGCCATAAACAAAGCCCCAGACCCCCCCTCTCTGCAGCAGCCTGATTTGCACTTGTTGGACGCTTATTTAGAATGGACATTGTTTGTAGTGGCACCCTGCAACAAACTGATAAAAGATCCATTTAGGAATGTAAAAATGACTGACCTCTCCCCATGCAAACAGGATGAAATGAGTGATCTTTTTGATGTGTTTTCAGCTTTTTCTTACTGCAAATATATTTCATACATGGATGAACAGAATAAGACCCCAATATGACAAAAATAAATATGTGCTGATTAGACCTGTGCCTTAATTAAATGTTGTCAGTTTGTCATCTGAATTAAATTATAAGGCCCTAAAGGCCCATATGTGCTCATTCAAACCAGTGACAGGTGTCCATTGTTGCCAGTGGGATGGTTACTGTTGCTCAGGTGACTGCAGGTAACGCCCCCTGAAGACAGCAGCGTGTCATCTGCGGCTGACAGGAGGGACGGAGGGAGGGGGACAGAGTTTCTGGGACAAGCCTCTGCGCCATTCACACACCTCCAAACAGAACGAGCGGCGGCAGGTGCCATGAATGCGCACTCAGGGGTACACCACTGTGCCACTGCGTAAGTGAGTTTTTCACTTTGGAACGAGTTCTCGTCAAACTCCATTTAATTTATTTTGAAATGGATATGTTGGATGAACTGAGTTTCAAATCCAAGAAAATGGATTTGGAGGAGGAGGACTTCTACTACGATTATGGGGCGGAGGAAATTACAGATTACCAGGACCCCGGTGAACTTGTGGCTGCTCTCAAACAAAAGGAGGAAGAGGTTATTTTGGCAGCCCAGCTTGGAAACGCACTGCTCCTGGAAAACCAACAGTTGAAAGAGCAGAGCGTACAACTTCATGAGCAATACGCACACAAACTTGAGGTAACAATATATTTTATACTACTTTTTATGAGTGATTGAGCATAAGATATGTAGGCTGAACTTTGAGATTAATATGTGGGTAAGTGTGTGTCTTAAATTTAATGCATTTGCATACAAGGCATTTTAAGTGGGCGGTGGTTAGAAAAATATTTGGCTAATTTAGAAAATTGTGAAATGTAGAAGACATTACACAAGACCCCTTAAGCTATCTCTTTATCGTTTTCTTACATCATAGGCTACATTATTAGCCTATATATGCAAGTTTAAAGTTATGAGGCTTCAATTTGATTTCCAAGGTGTGTAAGAGGCTCCAGTTCATCAGATCATTTACACTATATCAGAATAATAAAGACAGGGCTAATTAGAATAGGTCTAATAGCCTACTTCTCTTCATGTTAATTCATATACTATTTCACTATTCATACTGAGCAAAACAATCTTGTATCCAGTGCAAGCAAACTTCACCATTGTTTAAAGTCTGAGGTCATTCTTTAGTTATTCTCAGTATGTAGGTCCAATATATGCAAGTAACAGATGGAGACAACAAGTCCAAAGAGGCAGCTGTTTGTGTTGTCTTCCCATATTCAGATTTCAAATAACAAAATGTAATTAAAAAGAATAAAAAACTGAGGCACTCTGACTGCATTAAAAGTTAAAAGCAAATTAGTGCTGTAAGTGTGCCTTTCTATTTAACATCTGTAAGTGAAGTTTTTTCCACTGTGATCCTGATAAGCAGCTGACCTAAACTTAGCCTGACCTACTGAAGCACTCATCTTCCTCTCTTATAACAAAATGTAATGTCCAATGTTGTGCAGGAGCTGGAACAGGAAAAGCATGAGCTGCTGGTAAAGCTGGAGGGGTGCCGTTCCCAGTGGGAGAGCCAAGTGGGTGACCTGGAGCGGGATGTTAGGGAGCTGAGTGACCGTGTGGAGCACCTCACCTTGGCCCTTAGTGAGGCTGAACGCAACAAAACTCGAGCGGAGATGGAACACAGAGAGAACACACAGCGCCTCAAGGACCAGCTCAATGCAGTGAGTGTCTATTCAGTGTGTGTAAACCTAATCGCATGGGACACACTGGTCTGGATTGTTTGAGGTAACTGAGATGCAGTGTAACAAATACCAGAGCAGGAGGACTGAGAAACTAGCTGTCACCCAATCCATACACTAAATCTTAATGTCTCATCTTGAGTTTCAAGCGTCACAGATTGGCTAATACTGAGAAACAAAGTGCCAGAAGACCTGAGGCTACTTATTTAGTTAGACAGTTACCTATGCAAAACATGAACAATGAACCACAACCCAATCCTCTTAATACCAAGCTTAATAGAAGGGGTTATTTATCAACCATAACAATGTTCACTTCAGTATTGGCAGGTAATGGGCTATGGTGATGTTCTAAAAGCGTGTCTGAAGGAAAGATTTCTATTAGGTCCAAGTCCAACATTGCTTGGGACAATGTTTTGAGGTTGGTCGGCACTTTCCTCAGTACACACTTAATCATTAAAGACATTTCTGTGACCTATAGTTACAAGTTAACAAAATGCTTACGTCTGACTGACATAATGGATAAAATAACTTCAGCGGCTTTATCAGGGCATATGTAAGTGATAAATGTATTTATGACTACTGTCCTACTCTGAGAACATACACATTTTACAATCTGTTATCAAACCAACAGCTGTTGACTCACCTAACCTTGGGTAGTTTTCCAGTCATGACACCATTGAGTGCTGATTTTGCACATTTTCAGGTGTGAGGTTAGACACCTGCTTGTGTTCACAAATATGTTATTGCTTAAAATGGCCCACAGTATAGCATTAAACTATCTTACATTTATTAACTTTACAAGTAGGTTTATTGTTCAATAATACCATGAAATATATGTGTCCTTACTATGACTTTCCACCAGAAAATGTTCTTACTGCACCTTTTAAAATAGCCACTATTGTTGTTGTGTAAAGTTAATTAAAACTGGACAATAATGCTTTCCAAGAGTTCAAGGTCCACAGAATAAGCTGTTTTAAATGTCTCTAACTTCAGTTAGCACACTACAAGAACACAGTGGAAGACACTCCCTTATATGCAGGAAAGGGACAATTTAGATAGCATGTAAGAGAGGAAATAGGGGGTTTGTTATACTTTAGTTTTAGCTGTGGTTGGAGCTAAATGATAGATAAATCATTATTTTGACATTTACTTCTCTACTTCTGTTATAGATTTCTTATTTATCAAAAATATGCTTAGTATAATCATAGTGTGTGTGTAAGATGTAGGTAACCAAATCAGTTAATTTGCATTTAACTTCTTGTAGAATTAGATATACTGTATACTTATTAGTGATCTGTTAATTTTACTTATGTAGTTATTCTGCCATTTCATCTTTTGAAGCAGGTCGGGTAAGAGGATTTTTTAATTACTGTCATGTGGTATTGAGTAAGCATTTGGACCATAAAATAGTGTGACTGGCTGATGTCATTTAAAAGTTCAGTGTACTGAGTCATTTTTAAAATGTTGTTTTAATGGCTAAATAGTTAAGTTTCATTTTTACTGTAACATTGCATTGTTTGTCTGTCTTATACCTTTTTAATTAATATTCAAATAAGCCTCATATCCAACAGACGGACACATTTCCTAAACTCCTCCTGTTATTCTTCAAATGAGCCAATGAAATAGATTCAAGCCCCACTGACCTCTGCTCCCTGACAGCATCACACCGTTTGCATACAAAAAGAACAACACAATATACATTAAGCTTAGTGATATAAATCTTTAGCTCTTTCCTTTGATGCTGTACCCCTTTACCCCAAAATCCCATAATCCCTTGGGAGATCCAGCGTCCTTTTTGCTTGCTCCCTCAGGGCTAAGGTTGTGGCTGGGGTTGTCAGCTGTTCTCTTATTGTGAAGTGGGGGGTGTGGGGGGGTATAATGTATCTAGCTTTGTCCACTGTCTTTGCCTATTTGAAACCCCTATTGTAAAGAACAGACTGTGTGGTTGAGTCTAACCAACATTAATGGCCACTTCATGTCTGCAGGTTTTGTATTTGTCCATTCACGCTCTCCTCTATCACGTCACTCCCAAAGACAGGCCCTTCTCCCTCCCTTCTCATCCTCTTCAAACACACACGCACTTTTGGTTCAAGTTTGCACTGCGTCACATTGTTGTCCAATGTGGCATGATGATGATGATGATGTCACCAAGTGGGATGCCATGTGTTACCATCTGCTATTGGACTTTTGATCCTTAATTTTATGGTACATGGCAAGAAGAGAAGTGCTGAGTAAGGTTCAGTCGGACATAGAGATTGGCAGGCAAATATTTGGGTACGATTAACCAAGCCCAGTATCACAAACATGTTTCTCTATATTCTTACTTATATCCAGTGGTGGAAGGTAATGAAATACAAAAGTAAAAGTACAATACTCAGGTACAATTTTTAGGTATCTGTACTTTAAGTAGATTTTACAGTTGATACTTTTACTTTTACTTCATTACATTTGATAACATATTATCTGTACTTTCTACCCCACTACATTTTAGATCTAAACTGAAAAGTAAAAACCACTGCTTATATCTTATGATCCTACCTCTTCCAATATATAGATTTCAACTCCAAATCTCTCCTTTGGGCAATACTTTTCAGCCATCTGGCTTTTGTTCAGGGGCTTTATGACTAATCATATGCCATATTATTTTAGCTACCCCCCGGAAAGAGTGTTTATTTACCTTCTTTATGTTTTATCTGTACATGTCACTTAAGAGGTACTTTTTCTGACAATATCTGACATACCTTTCGTGTATTCCATTTCAGGCAGTGGAGATAGAGAGAGCCATGTCCAGTGAACTGCAGGCTTTGAAACAAGAGCTCCAAGAGAAAACCAGTCAAGACCGGCAACAGGATGAGGAGCTAATTAGTGCTATGAAAGAACAGGTATGACTGGTGATAATACATACACATTCAAACTGCTCCTTTAAGTATCATATAAATCAAAACAACTGTGCCAGTGCTAATCAAATAAATCAGTTAATAATTTAAAATGTGTCAACAAATACAGAATTTATTATTATTTGTTAATTATTATTATGTGAAATTTTTTTCTGTGTATCTATTTTAGCTCTAATTTGTCTTGTTGTTTTATTATTTCTAAAAAAAACTGTTGTTTTTTTCCAGGTATTACGGCTCACACAAAAAGAACAAACTCTTGAAGAACGTTTGGAGAAAGTGTCTCATGAAAATGCAGAGCTAAGAACCACTTTGGCATCTTTAAATGCACGTTTATCTCTTCAAGAGCAACTGAACCAGCAGCAGAGCCAGCAGGTAAAATGCCAAAGCCTAAAAAGTTACTACTAATACTAGTACTAATACAAACGTAGGTAGCCCTCATTGAAGTAAATACATTCTCTACTGAACAAAACATGAACGCTAAATACTAAATAATTTACTTAATTTACTTAAATGAGCACTGGCGAAGCTGCTTTGGAGTTTCTCTTTGTCTGCTTTGGTAAATGGTGTCTGGTAACAGAACAAACAGCAAAAGTATGAATGGCAGACACAGGCAGGGTTTCGGTTGGGAGTGTGAAGAGCTACACTGAAGAATCAGTTCATCCCATCATTGTGGCTTTCACTTGCAAATCTGGATTCCACTTGTGTGTTTTTGTTTCACATACAACTAGAATCTGGCATTTCTGGATTTCTCGCCCATTTTTACTATGTGGTCTAAGTGTCACAGACTAGTTTTGTAATGGATAAATAGTTTCATGCAAAATACTTAATACTTACTTTTTTTTTTAAAAAGGAAAAAAAAACATACATGACTGTTGTTCAAGTTAATATGTATGCATCTATATATTTACTATGTAGCTGCTATATATGTGTATTCGTGAGTTTCAGAATGATGATTGACAATTTAAAGCAATATATTACACCTTTGTGAGTAGGAAAAAGTCCTCAAAATGTAACAGGAAGCTGAAACCCATGAAAAACTCATCAATATGTAAATTAACCTGTATACACCAAGATAATTAAATTGTGGTATCTGTGGTTATGGTCTAAAGCAGGGATGGGCAATTATTTTTGTCAGAGGACATTATTACAATCCAGGCATGCGGTAGGGGGACCGACCAACACAATCATTGGTGTAACAACTCCAGGGGCCTACAGATGAAAAATGACCTATTGGCTAATTCTGGCATTCATGTGTTTTAAGATGTTGCCCCTTTCAAATAAATACATTTATCTAATCTAAGAAATGCTCAAAAGCAAAATCTAAAATATAGGCTGCTGTAATCCATTACTATATCTCAGGCCTGTTTTAACTTGGTCTAAAGTCTGCCCCATGTATTTTCAGTTGGTCGAGGCCTGGCAGGAGGTGGAAGCCGTCCGTGGTCGCTCACACCAGCTGCAGGCTCAGGTGGAGGAGCTTCAAGAGGAGGTATCTCTGCAAGAAGCCAAGAGCCAGGGAGATGCCTCTCTGTTGTCCGAACTGGAGAGCAGCCTCACTACAGCTCACCTGGGAGTAGATAGAAAAGAGGTATAGCCTGCCCTACAGATATTTTATATTATTTAATGCCTATATTTAATTTGAAAAAATAAAAATAAAAAGTCACAGCGCTTAATTCTTTAAACTTTACACTCTCTCTGTTCTGTGCACTATTGTAATATCTAATTGGTAACAAGCTTTGTAATTTTGTTGCCATGACCCTGCAAAAACACACAGTGAAAGTCCAAATTATGAACTTGATAAAGACAATAGATAACTTGTGTTGTTGGTTATATGGGATAGCTCTGCATTATGGCTGTAAAAGTTACAATAGTAAAACTTCTTATTCTGTTCTCTTAACGTGTCACTGTTATTGTTCTGCTCCAGCAGGAAAAGTGCTCTCATGAATCATTCACTACGTATCCTGTTTATCGCAGCCACTGTTTTTCAGCTTTGCCTCTTTACAAAATGCATGTGTATAAATAAATAAAAAAATTATATACATTGCAGCTAATACTTTTTTTTTCAGATAACTCAAGAAATGGAATCTATTCTGCAGTTGTTACAGCCGCTTACCCACAACCTCAGCAGCACCTTTACTCCAGACATTACAAATCAACAGAGTGACTTGGAAACAGCTCTGCATCAGTTAAAAGCAGTGGCTCAAACCTTAGCACAAACATGTGACACGCAGGTAAGATTAGCCATCGTACTTAACATAACTTAAATAAGACCAATATGTCCCTTCCAACTGTCCAGAAATAGTAGTTTGAAACAAAAAAAAAAGAAATAGTATTTATTTTTAGATTGTAGATTATGATGATGTTATGCACTCAGATAGTGGAAGACATGTGTTTGCTTATTGATTTAATAACTTGCGATGTAGGAAATACCCAAAAGAGAAAAAATAAATCACAAATGTTAAACCTGATGCTACTGATGTTACTAGGCTCTAGAACTCACTACATGTACAACAAAAATCTCCTCATAAGTAGTATTAATTTTACCTGCCATCAATTTCCTTTAGTATAGATACTTTTAGAAAGTTAAGATGTTCATGTTACACTTGAAGAGTTATTCCGAGTGTCTTTTTACATTGGTATACAACTAAACAATGCTTCCAGTCTTCAGAAAGTGAATGGGTGCCTTCATCAGAACATTATACGCCAAGTTATTTCAATATTAATGAGTTTATACACTAGAAGCACATCATCTGCTGTGCACTGATATCAACAGCATCCTTTTTTCTGTAACAACATATTATTAGTTTCGTTCCTCACACTGGAAAAAGGACACTAACAACAGACTTTTTTTTGTCCAAACCTTTACTGACACCTGATATCTCTGTTCATGTCTCAGGGGCAAAATCAAGCTTTTGTTGGACAGACGGCTGAGCAGTGTGGGAAACGCAGCACAGAAAAGCTGAGAGATCAGGTAAGAGAATGTCTTTTAGGCAGGGTGTGGTGCCCTTCTAAAATCAATATTACAATTCAACTATTTTCTCAGCAACATATATTCATGTTTATTATTTTGACTATTTTGACTTCAAGAATATTCAGCTGCAGAATGAAAATGCTGAATTAATGCAGAAGCTGCAGTGTATACAGTCCCAGGCTGATGTGGTTCAACAGGCCATCAAAGATCGTGATGAAGCCATCGCTAGGTGAGTATAGGCTACAGTTTTGCTCAAGAACAATGATGCATTTTTCTGGTCAATTATATCATGAGTCTTTCATTTTAAAGGAAAAACATGATGGAGGCTGAGTTGGTGAGAAGTAAAAATGATATGATGTGTCTGAACAACCAGTTACTTGAAGCAATCCAACGGAAGCTTGAACTGTCACAAGAGCTGGAGGCCTGGCAGGTATGTTTATACCATCTATAATTTTGGGTGTCAGCAACTTGTCCATGACAGTGTCAGTGGTCTTATTGCCATTAAATATAATTTTGTTCCTGAAGTTTAATGAACATTAGGCTATTCTGCATGTTGCATTAGGCCTAATACTGACATATTTTGTCATCATCAGGATGACATCCAGATCATCTTGAATCAGCAGCTCAGGTCCCAACAGCAGACAGAGCAAGTTCAGAATAAGACTACTTCCAACAGCTTGTCATTTTTCCGTCGATCGAACAGGATCTCGAACTCCACTTGGAGTCAAGACTCAAATGGACACAAGGCCCAATCTCCCTGGAGAGACTGGTTAAGACGAGGGAAGGGGGCCCAATATGGCAAGTAATGGACAGTTGTCATAGCTCTTACCCTCTTTTGTGGTGAAGAGTACCTTAAACTCTAAAGAACTGACAAGTGGTCATATTCAAGCCATTATGGACAAAGACTTGTTATACAAGCACTAAAACACATTTGATTTGAGGGCAAAGCCTTCTCCTAAAACTGTGATTTCCAGAAAGCATTAAGTTCCATATTACATGGAAATATGCCAATGTAGATATTGTACCTTATTTGATAATATTGATAATGATAATTTTATAATTGTATGCATTTATGCTTATCCATGTCATATAAGTAGTTGTACTGAAATGTAAAGTGAAAAGGTTAGTTTTAGTAATTATTTAACTGAATGTTAGATAATGAAGCAGGATTTTGTAAAATATGATTAAAGATTAAAATACACCCTTTGTCTTGTTAATTGAAGGTTGCATTTTCTTTATTCAAGTAATTTTGTTTTATCTTGCCTACAGGATGGCCTGTGACCCTAGGTTTAAATGTTACTGTACTAAATTATGCCACAGTGCCCACTGTATTTATTAAAGCATTTCAGAAACACAAGACTTCATTGTGAATAGAACAATGCTTCTTAACCATGCCCTCAATGTTCCACCTTGGAATATACTGTATGACAAAACCTGGATTAAAACACAAAATCACATAATATTGACAATCATTGAGACATATGAAATATAAGTTTAATGTTCTAAGAAATAAAACAAATACTGTTTAGCCAAATCAAATTGTGTAGACAAGACATACTACTGCCATAGGCGTGATATGAAATCATTCCTAGCTGTCAGAAATGTGTAAACAATTGTGAGGCTGGGTTTACGATGTAAATAAAGCTCTTGCTGCCCTCTGCTGGCGCTACTGTATAAAACTACATTTACACCCTATGCGGAAGTTTTTATCTTTATTTTGTAATAATTTACAAGCGTTGACATCATACGTATTATGTTTTATTGCATTTTGTAGTTTTCTATTTTTATTTACATGAAATTCAGGCTTAATGAAAAGTAGGCCGGCTGGCGCATATGGATGACGTTTGCAGGTGGGTTTATTTACTGAGAAATCGCTGACCCTCGTTTCGTTCAAGGCACTTTAGGTACATAGTTTTCAACAGGTACGACGATTTTATACATTTTGTATTTCATTGTATACATTGACGGAGGATCCTGTCCATATCTGTGTACAGTCACGGTTGTAAGAGTGCTGTGGTGGATGTAAGGGCTCTGTTAGTGTTAGCCAGAGCTAACATGACAGCTAACAAGCTTTGGCTAAGCAGGAAACCAAGTTGACTTTATAGAGAGCTTTGTCAAACTTATTTTGGCCAAATTACACGCAGCTATACAGCTGTTGAACTGCTAATACTTTGTTTGTAAGCTATTACTTTATAACACTGACGAGCAGAATTGCACTTTTTGTATATGAAGTATAACTATTTGAAATGACTGAGGATAAGATGACGTTTTCATGGTGTTATGACTCTGTCTCAACAACAGGAGCCTGGATGGATTGAGTGCAAAGCTCTAATGACATGACTGACCAGGGTAATAACAACCAGAACATCTCCTGTAACCCATTTGCTGCCCTCTTTAGTTCACTGGCTGATGCCAAACAGTTTGCATCTGGCCAGAAATCTCCTCCACAATCTTCAGAACCAACGTGTGCGTATAATAAAGTCTCTCATCAAGTAATTATTAATAACAAATGCAACTGTCAAATGTCTCACTGAGTACATGATTTAAGAAAAAAAATATATTTTCACTGTCATCTGTTGCAGTGGAGGACTCTGGAGAAAGCCAGTCTGAATCAGAGAACTCTGTGTCAGACAGTGTTGATGAAAATGATGACTCGGTGGCAGAGATCAGCCGCTCTTTTAGGTCTCGTCAAGAACTTTGCGAACAGCTTAATGTCAATCACATGATCCAAAGGATATTTCTCATTACATTGGATAACAGTAAGTGAAGAAGAAATTGTTGTAGATATTGTTTTATTTATTTATATCACACACAATTCACATACTATATACTAAATATATTAATAACATTTTTTTTTTTATATAAAGTTATCTAATTTTGAGCAAGAAATTATTGTGGTCTCTTTGTCAGTTACGCCTGCTCGAATGAGTATGTTGTTTTTAATAGTAGATTTAGCATTGATTAGTATCTTTTATTTTCCTTTTTTTCTACTTTTTAAGTCAGAACTCTTTGTTGTGATGATAAGGTTGTCCTGTTATTTTCACATAAACAAGATACACATTTGGTTCAAAGTGTGGTGACATAGTTACTTTATAGTATCGCAGAGTGATGACTTGTATTCCAGTAAGGATGTAATGAGTCATACACAAGTAAGACCCCATTTTAACCATGAATAGATTTCTCGCTCTAAGACATTAGAGACATATGAGTCATACAATACAAAAATATGATGTCATTGCCCTTGTTTTCTACATGCTTTTAACATTTTTAAGAACTATTTGTACATCACTAGCTTGAACAATTTTGAAATTGTACTTTATTTTCATAGGTGACCCAAGTTTGAGAGGTGGAAATGGCATACCTGCACGCTGTGTCTATCTGGAGGAGATGGCTGCTGATCTTGATGGACAGGACTGGCTGGATATGGATAATATAGAACAAGTAGGGCATAATTTCATTCTGTAATTGTAATTATGCTTTGGGAAAGAAAATTAAGCAATTGTTTTAATATTTTATTTATTTATTGTAATTCTTTGAGCGTGTTGTGTGCTGGTCTCTTCTTTAGGCTTTATTTAATCGTCTGCTGTTGCCGGAGCCTGGGAATCACCTCATCTATATGACATCATGCAGCACCATTAACCTCTCTGCAGACCGTGATGCAGGGGAAAAATGTGCCATTCCATACCTCTTTGCTTGTTATCTGAGGGCCAAGGAAGAGGTGTAAAATTGATCTATTGTTGCATTACAATGACTGAAAAGTATTTAATTCAGCCTGTAAAACACATATGAGTGCCAGTATGTTATTCACTAATTCTGTTTGCCACATAGGTAAAAAAGGTTCCTGAAAAGTTGTTATCATTTGCTGTTCGCTGCAAGGACCTCACAGTTTCCAACATGAAGACAGTCCTCCTCACTCCAGAGATTTATGTGAGCCAAAATATTTATGAGCAGTTATTAGACCTGCTCCTGGATGGTGTCAGAGGAACCTGTAGGTTTGCCTTTTCTTTGACAGTTTCTTTTCTTTCTAATTTTGTATTGGCAACTTCATTTCTGTGACTTGCATCTTTTAGACCCAGAAGATGTGATTGAGTTTGTGGAGGAAGTGATTGCAGGTTTACTGTCTGATCAGGAGGTCCGAACCTTTGAAGAGGTCATTGTACCAGTATTGGATATCTTCCAAGGGCGGGTTAAAGACTTGGATTTGTGTCAGCCTCAACTGTATTTTTACTTGGATGTGCTTCTTTACTTTAGCCATCATAAAGACATTGCTAAGGTATTATTGTCTGAGTTTTTAATAATTTAACATTCCGTATGTTGTATGTCTTCAATTTCAAACAAACAGTTGCACATTTTTACAGGTGTTAGTGGAACACATACAACCCAAAGATCCAGCTAATGGTTTGCAGTATCAAAAAAGCTTATTGGGAACTGTGCTTAATATTTCTTGCTTGCTAAAAACTCCTGGAGTTGTAGAAGGACATCGTTATTTTCTCAACCCATCTCGCTCCAGTGCTCAGGAGACCAAGGTTCAAGAGGCAAATATACACCAGGTATATCTGATTCACCAAGATGAGAGTTCCGTTTTGGTTCTAAGAGTAATCTTGTATGCCCCTTATTTTGCAGTTTATGGGACAGTTTCATGATAAACTGCATCAAGTTTTTAAAAATCTGCTCCAACGACCAGGTGAAACACGCCACTTGCTGCTCACCTGGTTGGGGAATTGTCTTCAGGCCAATGCCGGCAGAACAAAGATATGGGCCAATCAGATGCCAGAGCTCTTTTTTCAGATGTATGCTTCAGATGCATTTTTCTTAAACTTGGGTGCAGTAATGATGAAACTTTGCCAGCCATTTTGTAAGCCACACTCACCAAAATTGCTGACTTTCAACCCAACTTATTGTGCTCTCAAAGAACTAAGTGAAGAAGACCGTTCCAATCGAAATGTTCATGCAAGAGGTCTGTATATCAAAAAACATAATTAAGAGCTTTGATTGTGTGTAGTACTGTGCTCTTTTTTTCATACATTTGCATACATTCTTCTCATTTGTGTTAGGTCTTGACAAGGAAACCTGTCTGATCCCTGCACCTCCACAGCAGCTGGTGGTGCCGGCACAGTCGTATAGTCTGCTGACCGAAAACCTCATTCTTACACAGCTCACATTGCACTTGGGCTTTCACAGGTTTGAAATACAATTCATTATTATGTTTAATTGTTCATATTTGGCATGAGGATCCTGAAATTAACTGAGCTCTCGTGTCCTGTATCCATGTTATAATTGTGTGCAGACTTCATGAGCAGATGGTAAAAATGAACCAGTCCCTCCACCGGCTCCAGGTGATATGGCAAGATGCCCAACGCACAGGCAACTCTATGTCGGAACAGCTTCTAGAGCAGTTTGAGCGTCTTATGATTGTTTATTTGTCAACCAAAGCTGCCACTACACAACCTGCCATGCTCCAGTGCTGCCTTAACCTTCAAGCCTCCACAGCTTCTCTGTTGGTTCAGCTTGGAATAGGAAACCAAGGTCCCGAACATACAGCTCTCAGCTTTCCGCTTCCCTCCCTCCATAACTCCACACTGTGCTACATCCCTGGTAGGCTACATGTAGTAACTCTTATGTCCTTATGCTAGTAAATCATTATTTATTAAATGTTGCTTTTGTGTGCTAGAATTCTTTGCAGAGAACTTGGGAGATTTTTTCATATTTCTGCGTAGATTTGCAGATGAAGTTTTAGAGACATCTGCAGAAAATCTGGAGGAGGTTCTTAATTTCATTACTGTCTTCATGGGTAATGTAGAGAGGTACAGCACATCCTAATACTAACACTTCAGATTTCTTAAGATCCACCTCTTGGTCATACTTTTTTCAACGTTACTCTACTGTTATAGGATGAAGAATCCACACTTGAGAGCAAAATTTGCAGAGGTATTAGAGGCTGTAATGCCTCATATGGAGCCTTTGGCTCCTGGCGCTGCACAACCGATTGTGTTCTTGCGAGAAAGACTCTTCTGCTCCTATCGACACGCAGCCCAGCTGGCAGAGGCACTCATCACTGTGTTTGTAGACATTGAATTTACTGGTAATTCTGAAGGAATAAAAATTACTTGTGAAGAATTCTGTATTATTTTTATATGTATGAATACTGTATGTGTTGTTTTTCAGGGGATCCTCACCAGTTTGAACAGAAATTCAATTACCGAAGACCCATGTACCCCATCCTCAAGTACATGTGGAGCAAAGATGGCTATAGAGAAAGCATAAAGGTAAAATCAAAAAGCATTCAAACAAAGTCTTAAATATTTTCCAAACACACACACATTAAAAGCGTAATATTAAAGTACTTGTGTGTTTCAGCATTTGGCAGACTATGCATCTAAAAATCTGGAGGCCATGAATCCTCCTCTGTTTCTCAGGTTTCTTAACTTGCTTATGAATGATGCCATCTACCTACTTGATGAGGCAATTCAGGTTAGATCACATGGTTTTCTTCTCGATAGTAAGCAATATGTGGAAGCTACTAAATATTTTAAAAGTATTCTACTCATACTTGATAGTAAGTGTAGATAATTTTTCCTTTTTTGTAGTATCTTAGCAAAATCAAAATTCTACAGTTGGAGCGGGATCGAGGAGAGTGGGACAGTTTGTCTCCTGATGCCCGGAGAGAGAAGGAATCAAGTCTGCAGATGTTTGGACAGCTTGGACGTTTCCACAACATAATGTCAAATGAGACAATTGGCACACTGGCCTTCCTTACCTCAGGTTTGCCTCCATTATGTTCTTGTTTGCAATGTACATCACATGTACAAGTATAATATTTACCTTTTTTCCATCTTCAGAAATTAAGGGCATCTTTGTGCACCCCTTCTTGGCTGAGAGAATCATTTCTATGCTTAACTACTTCCTACAGCACCTGGTGGGCCCTAAAATGGGTGCTCTTAAAGTAAAAGACTTCAGTGAGTTTGATTTTAAGCCACAGCAACTGGTATCTGACATTTGCACCATCTATTTGAATCTGGGGTAAGTAGAAAGAAAGGTATTGTATCAGGAACTGTCTTTGCTTAAACCAGTATATTGATTTTTAAAATTATTTTCTTTTTTTTTTTTTACAGTGATGAAGAGAACTTCTGTGCCTCAGTACCCAAGGATGGACGGTCTTACTCTCCTACTCTTTTCTCTCAGACAGTTAGGGTACTTAAGAAAATTAATAAGCCAGGAAATATGATTGTGGCTTTTGGACTCTTGGCAGATAAAATAAAGGTACATTGTAGAACAAATGGTGTATTGGTTTCAGAATTTGATGGATTATTATGACTATTAACTTGAATATGTTTTAGTCACATGCCGACCGTCAACAACAAGAGGAGGAGACCTACGCAGATGCCCCAGATGAGTTTTTGGATCCAATCATGTCCACTCTGATGTTGGATCCTGTTATTCTTCCTTCATCTAATGTCACTGTAGATCGTTCTACAATAGCAAGACATCTTCTTAGGTTTGTTAGTTCTTATATTTAACTTCAGTGTGCCATACCTTCTATGGTTATGTATATTTATATAAATATTATGTTTTATTACTTGCAGTGATCAGACGGATCCCTTTAATAGAAGTCCTCTCACCATGGACCAGATTAGGCCAAATGATGAACTCAAACAACAAATCTCTCAATGGCTGGATAATCATAAGAACAGTTCTCAGTTTGGGCAGAGTGGCTAGCCAGTTTGTCTGACTAATGGCATTTTAAAATGTTATTATTCAGTGATTTTATTTGTTTATATTTTTGCCTCATTTGCAGTTGTATAATGGACTATTATTTTTATTGTGTTTAAATGCTATAGTAGATCACTTGCTAGGGACAAACCAATGCTTCTGTGATTCACCAATGAGTTTATCAAAAACATAAAAAGCAAAAATGATATTACACAACGCCTAATTGTTTTTGCTTTACACAAATTGCCTACTCAATGAAAGAAGAGCACACGGGCAGTGTGTGCTAATAAGTACTACAATACTTGTTGTAGATGATGAAGATTACTGATGAATTGAGGAGAACTAATTAACCCTTGAAAGTCAACATTAAGTTGGGGTGTTTGCATTAATTTCATAATTCTAGCAAACTCAATTTTAGAACTTAACACTATATAACTGATCATGATGTACAAGCCATTAATGGCAAAATTTGCAATGAATAAGAAAAGATGGATTATAAAAGCTTATTCTGTGTGGCTGTCATTTAACCATTGGCACAAATACCTGTTCAGTGACTTTTTACAAACAGAAATACCCATTCATCCCATTTGTCAGTTTTTGTATACCCTAAAATCTCTTCAAAAGAAAATAAATGTCTTGTTGATACATGCTCTCTAGTGCCAATTCAGAGACCGTTTTTCCCTTGAGTGATGTATACACCAATCTAATTAGATTTCAGTATATTCAAAAGTATGAGACAGTGTTAATGTGCTATTAGTTAATATTTGCCTTGTACATTGTTTGAACAAACATAATATTATTTGTTGTTGCATGTTATTTTTTCTCTTTATGGGGAATTTTAAGTGTTCATTTGTACAATATAACCTATTCAAATAACTCGAATGACTTTGTGCCTAAAACCAGCGCCACTTGGCACTCGAAAGGGTTATGGTAGGCTATTAATCTAGTAATGGAAATTGATTATTTATTTATTTTTTTAAAATGATGGCTCATCTGCATCTGTAAATGTATGAATTGAAATTATGCAAATGTAGGTAATATTTCTGTTTGCGTAGGATAGAGTACAGTTTGAGAAATTACAGCATGGGACTCATTTTCTCTTACTTATTTTTCGCATGTGTAATACTAGAAAGTATGGAATTCAAAATAATTTTACATTTGGGCATTTTTTCCTGTGGTCAAACCCAGTCATTGTAATGACCACAAACCAGGACAACAAATCTCCAGCAGAGTTTTAGGCAAGCGATGTCACGTGAGCGAAACCTGGCAATACAAATATTAAAGATTCACTATGTAACTTTTCTGGTTAGATACCAGTCTCCATGGAGTTATTAATCGCTTCTGACGCGTTTTCTAGTATATCATTACATTGCTCTTGTATCTGTTTAGTTACAGGTGTACTGAAACGAATTGTTGCTGAATGTTCACCTCTTCACAGATCTTCTTGGTGTTGTTAAAAAAGCTTAATGCCATACTGTGGAATAGGCAAAGAACAACACCTATGAAGATAGACGGCGACCGTGTCTTGAAAGGTTAGCCTATACTCATAGTGCAAATTTAAGAATAATCATGAACACAAATTAATGTCTAGATAGGATAACATGATTTTGAACGCTAATATGAACAGGCTTAAACTTACAAATATGACTTTACTTATTTTTATGTTTTCAAAGCAGGCACTTTTTGCTGTAAGAACCATCTTAATAACTCGAATCAAATTGGGGATGGATTCCCGGGCAAAGAGTCCAGAACCTGAGAGCGACTAACGAGACGCGGAGAAAATTGTCGGTCGGGGTTTCTATGTTCCGCCCCGCAACCTGCATTACGCAGTACGGCCAGTGAGAGCGCAGCGCTGCGGTCGGGGTTGTTTATGTGGAGTGCTGGGTTAGGGTTCCGCCCACCGAGGTATCTCTGATCGCAGGGCAGACAGGCAGAGTGTAAAATGGCGCACAGCTGTCGGTGGCGGTTCCCCGCTCGGCCCGGGGGGAGCAGCAACTCCGGTACCGGGAGGAAAGCGGGCCGGATCAGAGTTACTGCCTCTCTGCAGAGTGTTTCGGGAGCCCATCAAAACGCAGCGGGGCTCGGACCTGGCTTTGACGCTGCACTACAAGTCTCCTCGGTTATCAGAAGCAATCTGCAGAAATTTCGGGATGTTTTGGGAGAATCGAGTGACTCTAGCAGTGGAGAGGTGAGCAAAAGATGGGACCTTACGAGTCCTGTTGTATTGTGATGTGTGGTTTCTCAAACCAGGGTTAACTTCATGGAGCAGCGTACTTGGTCACATTTCATCTCCCTCAAAATTGTGAGGCTTCTGAAAAAATAAACTTCCCCACGAAGATGAGTTCTGTGTGTGGCCGTGGCATCGACAATATGAATTTTAACATAATTTGTCACAGTGTAAACCATGTAGCCTACCTTAGTCCTTATACAAAGTTTGCGTGCACCACTGTGGCGTTATGACAGGCTAATAGTACACTCAGCGTCTGGATGAATGGTCCAGGCTAACACCACATTGTTGGCCAAGTCAAAACAATAAGTGGGTGTTAAAATGCAGTATAGGCTACTACAATACATGCAGACCATTTATTTCATTTAAGCAGTATCAGCAATGTAGCCAAATTGTTACAGCAATTCCGTTAAGTCACTTGACATAACATAACGTAACCTACGTTTGAGCAAGTTAGCAATGGGTAAAGTTAGTCATTCTGGCATTAACGTTAAACACATTTATTACTATCTAAAAATATGTCCAGAGACAATACATGTGTTATTACACAGGAGCTTATAGGTTTTTAATAACAAGACTAACTACTGCTACTTATCTTGAAGGGGCTGTGTAGTTGTGGTTACTAACAAGCTAGCGTGAACTTAGCGCCTGTCTCTGAGAATTGGTACATCCTCCGTTATATTTGATTATTGGTACAGTTATTTAAAAGAAATACACATTTACTATCTCTGTAACAAAGTAACAATTGAATTACGTACTGTTTACAATTGTAAGTCATATTTTATTAGTGAACGTGCGCCAACATAGCTGACCCGTTAGCTTTGTGGCTAGCTGTCCTCACATCTCAGCGAGAACTAACGGCAATATTTTTCTCTTGAAATCAGTGCTCAGGTGGCTAGTATGGTTTGGTCTGGTTTGCATGTTTACCCTTGACTCACAAATTGCTGCAACACAGTTCAGCATCGCATCTTACTCTAGCCGTAAGAGCTCCTGCACATGAGTACATTATCTCCATTGCTGTTTCAGGTTAGCTAACAGTTACAATGCTACGCACTACTACGCCACGCTAGCCATTGGGGCTACTGCTGATGCATAGGAAAATGGGAGGTGGACATGTTTTCCCCTTCTCTACCCAGACCGAGTGTAGTACCTAACGAGAGGCTCTATGATTGACACACTGAAATCCAAATGCTTTTAGCTAGTGCGTTTGGTAAATGCTAAAGATAACTACGAAAAGAGTTTTGATTGAGGTTCTGACAGAATTGCGCAGTTTGAACGGAGCTAAGTACATGCTGAAGTGACAGTGCGCATGCAGGGTTGGCTACAATAACAACGAGCCCCTTCTCGAGGACCGTGTGATGTGGGGGTGTGTTCGCCTCAGCAAACGACCATCTTCCCTCATGATGAACGCACCATGCGCTCATTGCAGTGGGAGTTCACCGTTTGCAGGGATATTTACCTCCATCTTCTGAAACATGCATGTTCAAACATGTACATTGAGTAGATACAGTAGATAATTTAATAGGCTAAAGAAGTATTTGAAGATATATTAATTATGTTTTACCTGGGCTAATATTTTAATATACAGTTTATACAGTTAGAAGAAATTTTCCAAGCTCTTTAGAACTTTTTAATCTTGTGTTGGTGCTTTGTGCAAAGCTTCAGTAGTTTTTCTAGTCCTGAAGTAGCAGCAGTTGTATTTGGGCTGTTTATGATAGTGAATGGCCCACTGAATCCCAGTAGACTTTCAAGCCTATAGAGTTTGTGGACACAGTAGGGTGATTTCATTGAGAAGCAGTGCTGTGTCTGCTTGGCCAGAATGGGGCAGAATTGTTCAGGCTCAGTGCAGCCTGCTGAGCGCACAGGATAAACTTGAACACAGCGCCAGCCGTACACTTGCCACCCCTCCCTCGTTTTCGGCAAAGAAACCCCATCAGACACACACAAACCGTCTGAGAGGCAGACCAACTTTTCTTGTGACAGCTGCCACTTTGGAATGGATTAAGGAACCTATTGGTGTGACTCAAAGGGGGGCTTGTCGGTTGTTGCTGTCCAAATGAAGCCATTTGTTAGCTATTGTGCTACTGAGTTGATAATTCATTTTCTTGATGTAGATATTTTGGCCTGATAATCCAGCAATCTATTTAGATTTAATATTAGACAATTTTACCATTTCACTTTCTCATTCTTCAAGTACCAGTTTGCGACTTTAGGCTTTTCTTCTGTAATTTTAATACTTGCCGTACTCTTTTTTTTTTTTTTTTTTTTTCCAATTTGCCCACTCGACTATCAGCAGCTGCTGCTGATGTAAACCCAAATGCCGTTTTGCCTCAGTGTTAAACAATGTTTAAACTGAAATGGCTTTAATCCAGCAGGTGTTTGGACTATTTAAATTGTACCCCCCTGTATTGGTCCATCACACGCCCTCCCACCCGCTCAACCATTCCTGAGACAGCCTGTGGATAGAAGCAGGAAGCTTTGTGTCTGCTTTTATACTAGCCTCTCACAAAGTGGGGGCGGCTGAAAGAGTGCAGGCAGGGATATCAAAGGGTGTAGAACGACTCCCCTCCTCCCGATGGGACAACGTAGAGTGGAATTAGTCACAGACCCTCCCGTCCATGGCTTTATTCTGTCACAGGAAGTAGAAGGATTTCACCTTTAGCAAGAGTCCATTTGATTAGAAAATTTACCCCAATATAGTAGTATACCATTGCACATTGTGCTTGGCATCATGTAATTGTCTTTATTTTATTTTCAGAAAGAACCAATTTTACAGTTAAGTATTACCTTTAGAGGCAGGGTATGAGCAGGACAGTGCGCTTGTTATGCCCATCAGTATGTTTCCCCACACGCACAGCACACAGTCCAAACATAGAGTGTCAAAAGTTACAAATTGTGTTAGGACACTTGAAAAAACAACTGTCCACCTTTTGTTAGTAGCTGCCTGGGGTTACAAAAGCCGCTTTTCTACTGGGGTGATTCAGTGAGGGTGGGGCCACTAGCCGAGACGACTCAAACTGGCCTCTGCATGCTTTCCAAGGAGTAAAGTTGACATTCCCTTTATGATAAAACACAGTTTCAAATCCAACAAGTTTAGAACAATTCAGAAGTTCAGAGTCAGCAAATGCCCATCACCTGTACCTAAGGTTTTGGATGTGGGCTATCTATACACAATATGTTGCCCTATCGTTCACAGAAAGATGTTTGTGTAATCCCTCAGTTGTTCAGGTAGGATCCATAGCAAAAGAAAATTTCAATTCAGTCAAATGGACAAAATCTTTTCCTATATTGCCCTAGTGGTAGTATACTTGACTCTATAGTATAGTAAGTATAGTATAGCTTTTCGAATAATGAGCATCCGTTATTGCAGTTGTTTATTTCCTAAGTGATTTACAGTAGAGAGATGCATCTCCTCCTGTGGGCCTGCAATTGACTAGTCAGCTACTTCTATTGTAAATTAGGACTTTTAAAATGCATTTTAAGCAAATAAAAGATGAAAATTGTGACTGAAGGCTTCTAAAGAGAGACTTTCACCAATATTGCACTTTTATAAATATTCTACTCTCAAAGATTTTTGGCATGTGCTTTAGAGTGTGCAAAGACCTTACTATTACAATTATAATTCCAAAAATATGACTACGATTATTTTTATTTTGTATTAATTGTTGTATTGCATCTACAAACAATACCAAATGTGTATATATATATATATATATATATATATATATTTTTTTTTTTTAACTTTTATTAGACTGCCATCTGGCACTGCTTCTAGCCGTTTAATGGATTGTATGTTTCTGACCTGCATATAGTCTTGTTTCTCATCTGCTCAGAGCTCTCTGGGACTGTCCCTCATGCAGTGTAAAACGCTTTCATAATGAATAGCACTGTCACTGAAACTCCAGAGGCACTAATGATCACAGAACAGTATTTTAGTAACACTACTCTCTAATTACCATCAATTTGAGTTTACATTCACCTATAGAATGGTTACTGGATTGGTACTTTTTGGTATCTTTTCATGTAAAAAAAAAAAAATTTTTTAATTTAAAAAATCTATTTAATTCACTTTGAGATGAAAAAAACTCATTTGTAGTGAGTGACATTAGTAACTTTCTCTTTCTGGGTTATAGCTTCCTGTTATAGGTGTCTTGAAGTTTTGCCCATTCATAACACGCCACATTTCAAAGTTAAAATATTTTATTTAAGATCAGCAGCAAAACCTGTTTCAACATCAAGAATGTGATTAAAACCATACAGTCTACAATTGTACAACATAAAGAAAATAAACTTTGAATACTTGAAAGGGACATTTGACAATCAGGACTTGATCTCTCCATTTCACAGAATAGTAATTTAGATCAGAAGGAGGGGGTTAACACAGTGCAGTTTTAGAATCAATAAGTAGTGCATGCCAGCAAAAACGTGTAAAAGTTAACTTATTTCAAAACTGTAAACTTGTCTGATGTCCTGTCAAAACAGTAGATGTCGAAGAAAGGGGAGGCAAATGCTTTCCACCAAAGATCTGGAATGGTATAATATATAACTATCAAAGTCTTTTTCTCTAGAGAGAATTAATTAAATTAACTAGAAGATCAGTATTCATTTTTTATTACTCCTTGTATAAAAAAAACACAGACATGTGAAGTCAACAGATGTGTTGGGGGTGATACTGTCAACGCAAATCACACCCATATCTTCTGGCACTACTCACAAATATTTTGGGAACTTTATACAGGAGCCCGGCCGATATGGATTTTGTTGTGACCGATATGAAACTGATATCATGGGAGTTGGAGCTGCCGATATATTTAGTGATGTAAAAATTCACAGTAAATCTTGAATTGTTTAAAAAAACTTAGGTTTGGCTCTAGTGGATTCTAAATTGGGTTTATTTAGGCAACATTTATTGTTATTCTGACTCTTTACTTCATATTTACATACAGCAGATTGGCCTAATGGCATTTTTGCATCACATTCTAGCTACTAGTGATGGGTATTCCAGTTTTTTTTTTTTTGGAGAACCGGCTCTTTTGGCTCGGCTCTCTAAAGCAGCTGGTTCTTTCGGCTCCCAAGAGACTCTTGAGATTGTTTTGTTGCAAGCAGGACTAAACCAAAACTGAACCAGGACTGAAAAAGGACTAAACCAGGACTAAAACAGATTTAAACCATGTGTAAAACAGGACTAAACCAGAACTGAACCAGGACTGAGTGTCGGGACTCGGTCTCTCCCTCACTGGAGCCCAAGATTAGTCCTGGTTTATTCATTTTATGCTGAACTGCAGCCAAATATGCACTTTTTTTTATCCTATGCACACGCAGATTTCTGAAAGTTTCGTTTTCAGCCGCTGCTGCTGTCAAATTACGGGTCTACAAGCGGCTTGAAGAGAAAAAGTGAGAAAAAGAGAAACATGCTCCCATGGTTCGCTTCAAAGAGCCGGCTCTAAGAGCCGCTTCGATCGCGACCGACCCATAACTCCTAGCTAGTACAGAAACTACCGCTATTAGCCTTTAGCCGTAAAAACGTGCGCGCCACGGTAATTAATTATATGCATAAATGTGGATCATTCACACGTCTATTCACAGCTCATTTACATATCAATGCTGGTCCGGTAGCAAATATACAGCCAATATAGTCACTTTGCAATAGCCCAATAGAAGACAGCCTGTTTATGTAGCAGCTAATCGCTAATAACAAATAGCCAAAACTAGCTTCAAAGTCGATGTATTTCCAACACTCACCGCTCTCACAGGCTCCTCCTCACATCACAAGTCTGCACTAATAAAAGTCCTTTTAATCCAGAATCAAACCGATTGTCCGTAAAAAGAATATAATCTCAGTGTTGCGCACCGCTGCGGGTGGAAACAATAGCACGTGAGTGAAGTGACGTGACTCTGGGGGTGTGTTCAGGGACAGTACGGACTCAGACACAGACAAATTACACCGCAGATAAATACTGATGCGGAGCCACATATTAGGACATTTATCTGTATGGAAATTTGATTAAATGAACATAATGTAGAAAGTCTGAGCTTTATAAGGAGGTATAACATGCCCATGTGAAATATCGGCCCATATCAGCAAGCATATCGGCCGATAGCCGATATGTCTTCATGTGCCCGTATCGGCCAATAATATCGGCTAGCCGATATATCGGTCGGGCTCTACTTTATACATGTATTTCTAACAAAAATTATTGCAACATACTGTCCCTTGTACACTATATTCTTAGCTTTCAGTTGATTAGTACAGAAGAAGACCAATATTTTTGAATATAGCTATGAGGAAGATGGCTCAAGTCTGAGTTGGCTAGCCATACCTACTGGATTGACACTGTGGAGGAAATATTTGTCATGGGAAGGTGACCTTCATTGTGCGTCTGAAACTCTCTGGACATTTAAATGTTCAACTGTTACAATGACTGAAGAATGATTATTGTTTTATGTTTCTGCTTATCATTGTATAATCTACACTTGCTTGATATGAGATTGTAATATTGGTGATAAGCTATAAAAAGTGGAAAAAAAATTAGACAGTGGTCAGTACGCAGGAAATGGCTTAGCTAAATTGGTCACAGAATTACCTTTAGTGACATGGTATGAAACTGAAAATAAGAGCTGTTTTGAGGTATGGTAAATTTAGGATCAAAAAAGATTTTGGAGAGTATTAACTAGCATCATCTTTGCATAAAGGTAGTGCCAAGGTCTTCATGTGGTCATGATGCTGCTTCTACCACTCCACCTCCCCCTTTCCGTGCCTTTGCACCCCTCCCCCACATTTTATTTCTGCCTCTTAACCTCATCCCTAAACAGTAAGATGTAATCTTTAGTAATTCTTAAGTTCAAATATTTAATAGCAAATTTGTTCTGAAGTCAGACTGAGTCAATCATTTGTTGGAATCCTGCCCCCTTCAGTTCCATTATAACTCTAAGAGCAGTGCGCTAGTAAAGTCGGTATGTACATTTTTTAACACAAAAATGGCTAGATAATTGATTATTCAAAAAACCCTGAATTGGAGACATTTCATTTTTTTTGTTGTGATGTGCTTAAATACTAGTCAGAACTTGGATTGCAGCTGCTCTACAAAGTGGGCCAATGGGAACTTAACTGCATCCCCACACGCTGCTATATATAAACATGACAAAATGGCATACTCATCTCTCCTCTTAAACATATACTGATAGTGAGATAGTGATTACAAATAATAGGTGCACACAGGAATGTGCTCATTTAATATCTTTACATATACACTTAGTTCTCTAATTAAATTATAAACTCAATTCAGACGTCAAAGTTGCTTGCATGATTTGGTACAAAAAAGGTTCGGGCATACATTTGTCATCAAACTAGATAAATAATACCTTTGTTTACAGCTGAGATTAAGATTTAGATTTGATCATGATTCATGGAGAGAGTTCATACTTGATTGGTTATATTCACCTGTCACTCACTTAAAGCATAAAGGAGGCTGCCGCTGACCAGTAAGAATAGTGGGTGGGAAAAAGCAACAATAATAATGTAAATAATTGTGTGTATCTTGTGGGTATGGAAAACCGAAAGCAACTTTTTGCAAGTCAAAAACATTTTCAAGATGTGTCATGTTTTGCATTTGAACTGGATAATAGTAATTTTATGTTGATTTTTGGGGGGCTTTTAATTGGCATTTAATATTTTCTTCCCACTAGGATGAGGTGTTTGGAGGATTTGGATCCATTACAGAACAGAAAAGAATACACAGTCCTTCAACAGCTTCATCAGGTAGTGAGTTCATTTTTTTAAGTAAAATAATAATAATCAATCATATTTTATATATAATAATTTTATGTTTTCAAACTGTATTGCAAACAGACACTCCCACACAAGAGAGGAAACCCAGAGGTCGCCCCCCACGAGTCCTGTCCGCCCAGAAGCCTTCTTCGCCCTCCCCTTCTTCACTATCTTCACCCACACAAGCTCAACCTGAGGCTCTTGAAAAGCCGGCTGAAAGGATAAAGAGACTGCCAGGGAGGCCACCTGGTGCAGGGGAAAAGAGAAGAGGTCGCCCTCCTTCAAATAATAAGAAATCTTGGGGTACAAGTGCACCAGATGACAAACATACAGGGATTGAGCTGGATACAGAAGAGGAAGATGAAAAGAAGGACAAGTCTCACCACACTGATGCCAAGCTTTCCAAGGCTAGCAGCTTAAAGAGACTGAGGACCACAAAACTCTCACCTCTTAAGTCACGGCTCAAGACTTTGTCAGGTGTACCCCGACGTAGGCGTGGCCGACCGCCTTCAGCTGAGCGGCTCAAAGCTGAAGCAGCTGCTGCCACTAAGCGTGGTAACTCTGCTCTAAGGAATGAAGATGGTGCTGATAACCAAGACTCTTCCAATGCTCCAGTTTCACCATCACCTTCCACACCCAGCAAAACTGCTGGTCTTAGAAAAAGCCCTCGACATAGAAAGCCAGTCAGGATAGTTCCCTCTTCAAAACGCACAGATGCAACAATTGCTAAACAGCTCCTTCAACGAGCTAAAAAAGGAGCCCAGAAGCGTTTAGAAAAAGAAGCTAATGGTGGAAGTGGGGCAAGTGCCATTGAAGCTGGAATCAGAAAGACACAGTTGAAGAACATCAGGCAGTTTATTATGCCTGTAGTTAGTACAGTTTCCCTTCGCATTATCAAAACTCCAAAACGCTTCATTGAAGATGAGGGTAGTTTTGGAACACCACAAATGAAGATGCCACGTTTAGAAACAACTAGTACTGTGTCCACGTGCTCACAACCTCCCCCAGTTGTGTCATCCTCTGCTTCACCCGTACCAGTCTCTTCCACAACAGCTGTCAGCAGCACTGGGGTCACTGCTCCAACAGAAGCCCTTCCTCCACCTCCAGCCCCTACCCCAATTGCCACAATCCCATCAGAATCAAAAAGTGTTAACAATGACCCAAATGATGCTACTAATGGGAGATTTAGCAGTACGGCATCCTGTGGTTCAAGTGCAGTGTCCCAGCATTCTTCTCAGCTCTCATCTGCAGAGTCCTCACGGTCCAGCAGCCCAAGTCTGGAGGACTCTACCTGTGAGTCTCAAGGCTCAGAGGGCACACAGGCTTTATCAGAGCCTGAGGATAACTCCCTTTCTTTACAAGAAGAGAGAGAAACCAATGAGATGCACAGCTCCAGGCCTGTCTCTCCTCCCTCTGAACCTGAGCCAGAGCATATGCTGGTTGAGAGGAATCGACGTGGACATAGAAGTCAAGAGGTGGGACGGGGAAGTCAGAACCAGAGGGTCAGAGAAATCCTTACAACAGTGCCCAAAAAGCCCATCATTAGTCCTCCAACAGGTGTGCTGCTCTCCTCCACAGCCCATGTGAATACCCAGCAAGCTTCATCTACAGCCTCATCCTCCTCTTCACCTCCACCCCCACCACTTCTCAGCCCTCCACAGCCACCTCCTTCAGTCTCCAACACAACTGCTATCAGTGAACACCATGCACAGTCACCTTGGATCTCTCACTCCATGCCTCCATTTTGCTCTGGGCCATCCGTACTTTCTGGATTGGCTGACAAGCGCAGTCGATCCATTTTACGTGAACCAACTTTCCGTTGGACGTCACTGTCACACCCTGAGCAACAGTACTTCTCATCAGCAAAGTATGCCAAGGAGGGTCTTATACGCAAGCCCATCTTTGACAACTTCCGTCCTCCACCTTTAACCCCAGAAGACGTAGGGCTAATACCACAAAGTGGGACAGGTGGAGTTACACCAGTCACATTCCCAGTACCAAGCAGTGGGGGAGGAACAAAAGCTCTTTTTGGTCCTCTCCAACCTCATTTGCACACCCAACAATCTTCCTCTTCCCGTTTTGATGCACCACTTCAGAAGCGTACTCCATTGCTACGTGCTCCTCGCTTTACTCCTAGTGAGGCCCACTCTCGCATTTTTGAGTCTGTGACTTTGCAATCATCTTCTGGAAGCAGTCCTGGCTCGTTGTCTCCTCAGCAATCATCCACAAGTTCAAGTCGAACTTCCAAGCGCAAAAGGCGACCGGTATCTGGAGCGCTTCGTGGTCATTTGCGGTCTCCTTCCCATTCAATGACCAGACGGAGCAGCCAAATTGGGGGACAAACATCAAGGGGTAAAAACTCAGAGAAGTCTCTGTTATCAGGCTCTGTTTCTAGTAATAATCCCAGTTCTATACCAGGGGTCTCTGCCAGTCCACATACCGCAAGTGCCTTAACTTCCTTCAGCACCTTCTCCACAATGACCCTGGGTCTTGGTGCACAGGCAACACCTGACAGCAGAAGAGGAGCTGCTGGAACCACACCGCTGTCCACTGCAGCATCAGCTTCTTCCCCACTCTTTCCACTTTTCCCAACCACTGCACAGGACCAAGGCAGAGGAGTGGGAAAGGGTAAAGAGAGAAGCTTGTCAGCACCACAAGACTCTAGTCATAAAGAAAAAGATATAGACAAAACCAGAGACAAAGAAAAAGAGAATAAGAGGGAGAACCGGAAGGATTTGGAAAAAAGAGGCAAAGTTTCATCACGGGATGGTTCACCAAGTACACCCTCCAGTCACTTCAGTGTTGATGGAAAAGAGTCTGAAGCCCTCTCTTCAAAAAAGACTCTTGGACGCAAAAAGTCAGCAACTGTGGATACAGGTTCTGATTCTGTTTCTTCAGAAAGCCGCATGGTCCAATCCAATTTGCAGTCAGCTGTTGGTAAAGGCCGTTTTTCTAAAAAAGGACGACCTTCTGAAAGAGCGGTAGAGGTTGAAATTGAAGAGAAAGACAAACAAAATGGTTCCAGCCCACAAACGGCAAGTCTTTCCGGCCAAGCAAACAGACAACTACCAGTCTCCTCAGTTCTGGCTCAAGCAGAGAAGCAACCTGTTACTGACAAGCGTGTAGTCGGACTGCTAAAGAAGGCTAAAGCTCAGCTTTTCAAGATAGAAAAGAGTAAGATGAAACCTGCTGAGCCAACTAAGCTAATGGTACGTTTTGTCCCTTCTTTCTTGTATTATCTGTATAAACCCGTTGATAATTAAACACTGTATTTAAAGTGAATCAAAACTATTCAAGGTACTGTAGGTAATTGTCTAGTTTTTACTGTTTTTCCTCTGTTTATTGACCCAATGAATTACTTATGCAGTTTATCCTCTGTCTTTGTCATTTGTTTATTCTTGAACAGGGGCAAGAAAGTGATTCATCAGAAACCTCAGTCCGTGGTCCACGCATCAAACATGTGTGTCGTCGTGCAGCTGTGGCCCTAGGCCGCAATAGGGCAGTGTTTCCTGATGACATGCCCACACTCAGTGCCTTGCCCTGGGAGGAGAGAGAAAAAATTTTATCATCCATGGGAAATGATGGTAAAATGCTACATACATACAACATGTATTTAAGCTCACTTGTAATTTTATACCCAAACTCATTTACATTTTTTGTATCATTATATAGACAAGTCATCTGTAGCGGGCTCTGAAGAGGCAGAGCCACAATCTCCTCCAATAAAGCCACGGGAAACACGACACAAGCCTGTTCAAGAAGCTCCCCCTAAAAAAGGACGGCGCTCCCGGCGCTGTGGCCAATGCTCAGGCTGTCAGGTACCTGAAGACTGTGGTGAATGTACTAACTGTCTTGACAAGCCAAAATTTGGAGGAAGAAATATCAAAAAGCAGTGCTGCAAGTGAGTTAAATGTTTATTACATATACTTTGTGTTATATTACAAAAAATTAACAAAATATATTTTTTGCAGGATGAGGAAGTGTCAGAATCTACAATGGATGCCCTCAAAGATGTTTCTTCAGAAGCAAGGGAAAGGCAAAAAGGATAAGCGAAAGAACAAGGTGTCAGAGAAGAAGGATTCTGTAAATCCGGTTAAAGGGCCTAATATAGACTCTACTATGAAACCTACTCCTTCACCAGCAAAGGAGGAGCCTTTGGGTAAAAAGAGTGCAACATCTCCTTTAAAGCTCTCAGAGGACAAATTTAGAGACCAGCCATCAGAACAATCATCTCCCCTGACAACATCCCCTCCACATGTTGACACTTCGGAACCCCCTGTACAAACTCAAGATCTGTCTCCGGTCCCAGAAGTGACCAATGCATCCAGTCTGCCCAGTAAGAAAGGACACAAAGCTCAACAGTCAGTGGAAACGTCTTCATCCTCCTCTTCTTCTACTTCATCATCCTCCTCTTCCTCCTCCTCATCATCGTCATCATCCTCATCCTCATCATCATCTTCAGCACAGAACTCTCCAGCTAAAACAACATCAGCTCACCAACAAACCCAACAGCAGCACTGTCCAACTAATAATCAGACAATGTCAAAAAAGGAACCTCCCAAACTCCAATCAAGTGAGCCCAGGAGAAAGCAGCAGTCTTCAAGTCAACACAGCTCAGTTACACCAGATCCAGGTACTGCATGCATACATTTTTTTGCACGTCTTTATTCTTGGATTGAAAATAATAGGAAAAAATGTGCTCTTATTTAGCAGATTTAAAGCTATCAAAAAGATCAACTTCACGGTCTGTCCCTCCATCTCCAAAACAGAGGCCAAAAGACAAGGTAATGTACTAGGCCTTATGCACCACATTCAGATAGTATTCAAATCCCTTTAATTTCTTAAAATATATTATGATGTAGCATAACATTGGACTAAATTACTTATTTCTGAAGTCCCACAGTGATTACCCAATAAACATTTAGCTATCACTACTGGGAGTGGTCTGTTGTATTTTGTCCAGACTTTTATGGTCTCAGATTTCCCATCATGTACTCTTACCTCTCCAAATTATGATTAATGGAAATCAACACAGGTGGATTATAATAAAGTTTCAGAAACATCAAAGTAAACATATTTCACAAGTTGCTGTTAAGGATATAAATGTTGTTTTTTGTTTGCTCATATTTCAATAATGGAAGGAGTTATTCAAATGTTATTTTTGTTAAAGTAATAGTAAGTAAATCATGTTTTTTTTTTGTTTTATACAAAGGCACTGACCTCTAAACCACCCAGCAGCAGTAATTTAAACTGGTTGAGCACTCCCTCGACTAGGGGCCCAACAAAGTTCAGAGCACCCCCCTGCGACGGAGTGCATCGCATCAGAGTGGATTTTAAGAGGGACCATGATGTAGACAAGGTGTGGGAGGCAGGTGGTCTCAGCCTACTCACCTCTGTGCCGGTCACACCCAGAGCTCTCTGCTTCTTATGTGCAAGCAGTGGGAATGTGGAGGTATATAATACATTAATGTTGAAGTAGCACATGGTTTTCATTAACACAATAGATTTAGATTTTTTTAAATTTAATTACTTAATTTTAGGAATGGCAATCTATGAACAAATAATGTACTTCTTATAATATATGTTATGTCTTTGTGTTCTAGTTTGTTTACTGCCAGGTGTGCTGTGAGCCATTCCATCTTTTTTGTCTGGGGGAGTCTGAGCGCCCTCTGCAAGAACAGTTTGAAAATTGGTGTTGCCGAAGGTGTCGATTTTGTCAGGCTTGTGGGCGCCAACACCAGAAAACAAAAGTAAGCATTATTTGATACAACAGATGAACATAGTTCGTGAATGTAGTATGTTTAAACATGTAATTGTATAATCTTGTTTTTGGTTAGTTTAAGTATGTTTGTTTTGATTGGCTTTGCAGCAGCCACTACTTGAGTGTGACAAGTGCCGTAACAGCTATCACCCGGAGTGCCTGGGTACTAACCACCCTACCAGACTCACCAAAAAGAAAAAAGTCTGGGTGGGTTTTCTGTCACAATTTTTTTTCACAATTTTTCTCTTGTAAATAGATTTATTTTTGCCGTTTAATTAAAATGTTGTCTTTTTTTAGGTTTGCAGCAAATGTGTGCGCTGTAAAAGTTGTGGGGCCACTAAGCCTGGAAAATCATGGAATGCCCAATGGTCACATGACTTTTCAATGTGTCATGACTGTGCCAAACTCTGTGTTAAAGGTTAGCGTAATGTCCAGTGCCTTTGTCCAATATGGTGTGTGGCATTTGTGTCCATCCTTATATCACTGTGTCATTGGGTAAGACTGTCTTACCTGCTGTCTGCGTATACACACGAGTGCTTTCACTGCACTGTGGTAGATTAAAACTATTTAAAGCAACCATGTATTTACCATTTTCTAATATTCACGAGACTATATGTGACTCACTGTGATATATAGTGTCTTTTATGCATTCCTTTTTGGACCTAGACGTCTGTTTCAACTTTTTCAGGGAAACATTGCCTGCTGTGTGATAAGCGCTATGATGAAGATGATGACGGTGAAAGCAAGATGATGCAATGTTGCCATTGTAAATGCTGGGTTCATGCCAAGTGTGAGAAAGTGACAGGTTTGTTGACTTTTTCACATTATCAAACTGATTTATTGATGCACTAAAACTACATCCATCAGGTTTATTATATGTATTCAATATTGATGGTCATCAACTGTGATGATGTCAGCCTTCAGTAGTTGAAGTTGTATTGTTGCCTGCACTATCTTTTTCATGGACTCCTTTTGGCTGACAGTGACCAAAGTGCCATGCCTGTCAACTAGTTTCTTTATTAATTTAATATGAACATTTAATGCTTACTTATTTTTTTTATTTATTTGTCAACCAGATGAAATGTATGAGCTGCTGTCCAAGCTCCCGGAGAGTGTTGGCTTCACATGTACTAAATGTACAGAGTGCTACCCGACCCAGTGGCGAACAGAATTGGAAAGGGAGCTTCAGGGTTGCATTCGCCATGTCCTTAATGCCTTGCTGAACTCTCATACGTCCATGCATCTTTTGCGCTACAGACAGGTTAGTACCAAATGTGTCTTATTTGTTTTTACTACATTTAAAGAAAGCAGTTTGGTATTGACATTAAACAATCTACTTATCTATGTCAGCAGACAGTGAAACCTCCAGAACTAAACCCAGAAACAGAGGAAAGCCAGCCATCCCGCCGCTCTCCAGAGGGGCCCGATCCCCCGGTTCTGATGGAGGCACCTCCTGGGCCCAGTGACTCACCACAAGATCTAGAGTCTGTTGAGAAAAAAATGGATTTGGGATGCTACAAGTCAGTGGTGAGTGTTTTGATCATTATTATATGCTAGATAGTGTCTTAAATCCGCAGTCCTGTATTGTTAGTTGAACTTGAACTCACTGACTGTATTTCTAGAAAAAATTATATGATAGTAATATTTATTTACTATCATGCACCTACTCTAAGAATGTTGTGGTGTCATCACAATTTGCGTGACTTTCATAAGGCGATAGAGACAAATATTATATGTGCAATTCACGAATATAATTCTATCTTCACTTGTGTCTCCCACAGCTGGAGTTTGGAGATGATATTGCTAGAATCATTCAAACAGCCATTAACAATGACGGTGGCCTGCCTGAGAGCCGCAAAGCTAACAGTATGGTCAAAGCATTTTTTATTCGGGTAAGAGTCAGTTATGAATCTTATTACCATTAGCATTGTATGAATGGTTACCAACATGATATATAATGTATATTTGTATTTTACAGAGCAGAAATTACTGAATTAAACTGACTTATCTGTTTTAGCAAATGGATCGTGTCTTCCCGTGGTTCAAAATCAGAAATTCAAGGTTATGGGAAAGACAAAAAGTCACAGCTAAGTGAGTTTCCAGTAGTATTAAATAAAATGTAATTCATCTAATTTGTCTAATTATAGAATGCTTAATATGTTTTTATGCTGTTTTATAAATATTGAATTTACTGTCATAATTGTTACTTTAATCCTAAACATTTTTTTTTTATTTTTTTTTGGAGTTTTTTTTTTTTTTTTTTGCCTTAAACTGCAAAAAATACTACTGTATACTAAATCTTGATGTATTTTTTACTGCCTTCCAGTAGTGGTCTCCTCCCAAATGCAGTACTGCCTCCATCATTGGACCATAACTATGCCCAGTGGCAGGAGAGGCAAGAACTTTCTCGAGCAGTACAACCCCTCTTCACAAAGAAGATAATTCCAGCTCCTTGTCCCCAGCCCCCGAGTGAACCAGATTGTCCTTCATTGCCTCCTCCTGTCCACCCAACGTTTCTCCTACCTCCTCCACTATCATCTGGTAATGAAGTGTAAAATACAAAACAGAAAATTGTTAGTTACCTCAAATAATGTGTGTATGTCTTTTTTTGTTTTGTTTTAAGATTATGAGGACAGCCCAGATTCCCCTTCTCCTCCTGGTATTGGTGACAACAGGCAATGTGCTTTATGCCTCAAGTATGGTGATGAGAACCATAATGTAGGTGAAAATACTGGAGTAAGATTACTACCCAAGGATTGCTTTACGAACATTTGTAATTTGTCTTAATCCAGGAAGGGGGTAGGTTGCTTTACATTGGTCAGAATGAATGGACCCATATTAACTGTGCCCTTTGGTCTGCTGACGTGTTTGAGGATGATGATGGCTCCCTAAAAAATGTTCATTTGGCTGTTCACCGAGGAAAGCAGATGGTAAATAACATTTAAACACATTACTGATATATTTTATCATTACTTGTTGATGTGTTAATGAGCCTTATGTGTTTTTGTTTATTATTTAGTGCTGTGAGAAGTGTCAAAGTCCTGGGGCCACAGTTAGCTGCTGTCTTACCTCTTGCACCAATAATTACCACTTTATGTGTGCCCGCCAATGTCACTGCATCTTCCTGGAAGACAAGAAAGTGTATTGTTCAAAGCACAGGGACTTAATTAAAGGAGATGTATGAATGCATTCTTGAGCAAAATTAAAAATACAAATGATTTATAAAGTGATTCAATATTCTTTTTGTTATTTTAATTTTTTTAGGTTGTGTCAGGGTTTGAGGTAACCCGCAGAGTGCTGGTGGACATAGAGGGCATGAGTCTAAAGAAGAAGTGGCTGTCGGGACTAGAACCTGATGATGTTCATATGATAATTGGTAAAAAGTGCAACTGAAAAAAATTTTGTTTTATTTAAGCCAATGTTTAAATGTGTTTTTCATTCACTACAGGCTCCATGACAATTGATTGTTTGGGAAAACTGACTGAGTTCTCAGACTGCAAACGCAAGCTCTTTCCAGTGGGATACCAGTAAGATTTTTGTTTTTTAAACTATATTTGACCTGGCAGAAGTGAGATTGATATTGTGTAGAATCTTTGATTGATCTACACAATATCAATCTGGGGTTGGCTCCCGCTGAAAGTGGTTGGGAGGAATGTTGAAATTCTTAACATCTTTTACATCCGTTGGTGTCGCCATGGTTTGTTTTGTGTGGACACTTCACTTTTGGCTTTTTCCAAACCACAATTTTGCCCTATACACTGGTCATTTAGTGGCTCAAGCCCACCCGCAGATGCGGTACAAGATGGATTCTTGTGAGTTTGTGAAATCATAAATATCACAAGAATTCATCTTGCTGTGGTAACTCAATACAGTACTACTGTATCATTTAGATTTTCATTACTTTGATTTATTTTATTTCAAAATATTTTTATTATATTTCAAAATATTGAATATTTGTTTCATTTAGATGCTCAAGGGTGTACTGGAGTACTATAGATGCAAGGAAGCGCTGTGTGTACACCTGCAGGATCCTAGTTTGCCATCCTCCAGTGTCAGAATGTGACCCCAAGAGCACAATGACTCCTGAAGAAAATCGCACAATAGCACACAGTCCATCTCCAATAGCAGGTAAATACAACGTTTCACACACTTCATTTCACACATCTGAATTTAAGTAGTCATAAAATATATATTTTTTCATATATATAAGATTTTCCAGATCCATTTGAGTCCCCAAGACGCTCTGACACACTTTCACCTTCAAGCACCCCTAAACTCAGGGTTTACACTAGAAATCGGCACCCCAGTTACCCTCCAGCTGGCCCTAGACCTATGCTTTCTCAAGGTATTTAACAAAATTCTATTGTCAAAATAATTGATTAAATGCCAGCTTTTGGTAAATTTGGGATTTTGTTTTTATGTTTTTGTTGTACATTGTATTAACAGGGGGCACCACTCGAACTCCAAGCCATGAAGTTGTGACAGCAGGACATTCACAGCCAAATCCCACCGTTAAAAGTGTTGACTCACGACGCCACAGCTCTCCCTCTCTTTCCCCTCCTCAGTCGCTTATCAGACAAAGAGGGGTTGTTTCTTCTCCCCAGATTATATCAAGACCCCTAACATCCCCACCTCCCCTAATCCCATCTCCTGCCAGAGACCCTGAAAGGTCGAAACATCTCGGCAAAGAATCTGCTCACAGGGAAGATGAAAAAAGCAGGTTGTTCCCAACAGACAAAAACAGATGGCAGCAGACAAGAGATCAGTCACATAAAGATACAAACAAAGTGAGAGTGTTAAGTCGAGACCAAGTCTCTAAGGACACACATAGGAATAAATCTAAAGAAATCCGCCTGAAGGACCGGGGTCAAATATCAGCCAAAGAGCCTGAACAACAGAAATCGTTGACCAAAGAGTCAAGTGTAAAGGACATGGATAGGGGACGAACCGTAAACAGGGACCACTATAGAGATCCAGAAAAAGAGAGACAACTGACTAAAAGCTCTGAAAAGGCACCCCAGCCCAGCATGTGCTTAACCAACAGAGAAACAGAAAAAAATAAAACATCCTCCAGATCCCAGTTAGTGGAAAAAAATAAATTGCTCAGTAGAGATGCAGGTTTAAGAGACTCTAATAAGCATCGGCATCATAGTAGGGAATCAGGGAAAGACTCAGGCCAAGGTAAAGACCGATCAAGTCGAGACTCTGACAAGTGTAGACTTCACCCCAGAGACTCAAATCACAGAAGCACAGAACGGTATAAAGACTCAGGGAAAGACAGTCACCATGGATCTCAGTTTAAGTCTGGTGGTGAAATTAGGAGCTCCAGACTGACCCCTACAGGTCAGGGCCAGACCTCTCCTCCTGCAGGCACTGCTGTTGTCACAGGACAGCTCGCTGACAGACATGAAAAACACAGGAGCAATGAACTTTCTTCAAACTCATCTCGTCACAAATCCCTCTCCTCATCAGACTTCAACCAACTGAAAGATAAGTCCAACTCAGGGAAGGTGAGCACCAGTAGCTCTGGAAATGTATTGCCTGCTACTTTACAGAAGACCCCACATATCGGAAAATCTGGCTCCCCTCAGCCATTTCAGAAAGGCAGTTCACAAAAATCACATGATTATGTTCAAAGCCCAATCCCAGCAGCAGCACTGAAGCCTCTGTGGTCATCAAGGTCACCAGCAGATGAGGATAATTTAAAACAAGGATCAAACTCCCCCACTGCAAAAGACAAACATGCAAAAGTTAAAAAGTCAAGCAGCAGTCAAATAGACAAAAGTCTGACAACATGCAGCAGTGACAGTTATTCCACTTTAAACAACAATAATATTAAAATGACTGGTAGCTCAAAAGTAGATACTCACAACTCCAGCAGCAATAGCAAAACACAAATGATCCGAAATCACACCAAAGCTCATAACAAAACTCAAGGAGAAAACATTGAAAACTTGAAAGAAGATAGATCATCTTCAAAAAGCAGACAGATGCTCTCAGATTCTGATAAAAAGATGACCCCAGATCATTCAAAACCAATGCAGCAAGCAAGCTTAGCCATAGAGAAGTCTCAAACAAAACACAACACAACTAACCAACTATCTGTAAGAGAGAAATCTTCTAAGCCCCCTACATCTGCTTCTACGCCAACCAATCCAAATAGTGCAAACACTATTGATGGAATTTCTTCTACTTGTCATAGCACGGTCACTACCTCTTCTGTCTTACCTGCTGGTCAGGGAGGCTGCAGGTCTGCCAGCTCAGCTCACTTCTCCTCACCTTCCACTAACAGCGACGGGTCTGAGTCAGACACACACCCTCACACAGCAGAAGAAGCTCTGCACAGAGGGTATTCCCAAGGCCTTCTTGCTCAAGGCACTGAGGATGACACTGAAGGCCATGATGATGATCACAGGAGTTTAGAAGACAAGCACCATGAGGATGACAGTGATGGCTCAGGATCTGCTAAGAGACGGTATCCCCGCCGCAGTGCTCGTGCCCGCTCTAACATGTTTTTTGGTCTCACACCTTTTTATGGAGTTCGCTCTTATGGTGAGGAAGACCTCCACTTCTATGGAGGTGAAGAGGGTGCAGGACAGATGCTCAAGAAAAGGTCCGGAGGTCGTAAGAAGTCAGCAGAAGGGCAGGTGGATGGAGCAGATGATATCAGTTCATCCTCTACATCTGGTGAAAGCGGCGATGATGAGAGTAACAATAACCCCTATTACTACAACTTCACCCGAACAATTATCAACCCTGGAGAAGGACTCCCATCAATAGAAGGGATAGACCAGTGTCTGGGGCAAGGCTCCCAACTCCAGCGCTTTCTCAAAGATGAGGAGCAACAGAAAAGACAAGCAAGCACAGATGAGGACCTGTTAAGTGGCTTGTAAGTATACATATAGATGAGCTCAATTTTGTTATTGAATAATTTTTACTAATGACAATTTGTTATATTTTTCAGGTCCTTGGGACAGCAGCATATTGGTCAGCTGGATGGTGTTGATGATGGTTCAGAGAGTGACACAAGCATTTGCACCACCAGCACAACAAGCACCACAGCCACTTCCACTCCTCATAAAAACACCCCCAAGAGAAGGACCAGGGAGAGGCACTCTGAGAAGATGGACTCGCACAATTCCAACAAGGATTCTGACAATAGTGCAGGTGGAGGGGGCACAAACACACGAGAGGGCAGGAAACACCAGAAGGAAAACTGCCTTCCTCTTGGAGGAAAGTCTCAGGCACAAAGTCAAGGTCAGGATCCCCTTGATGCCCAGCTGTCTCTCAGTACTGACTTGCTTAAGTCTGACTCAGACAACAACAACAGTGATGACTGTGGTAACATTTTACCCTCCGACATAATGGAGTTTGTTCTAAACACGCCCTCGATGCAGACTTTGGGCCAACAGGCAGAGTCTTCCTCATCAGAACTACTGCTCGATGAGGGCTATGTTGGAGTAGACGTCAACAGACGCAAAGACATTCTCTTTGAAGATTTTCCGCAGCCCCTGTCCAGTTCTGAGAGTGGAGGTGGAGTAGAGAGCAATGTTAACAACTCCATGTCTGTGGAGGAGCCATACCTGCCTCTAGCACTTCCTTCTGACCTCTCTGTCCTCACCACTCGCAGTCCAACTGTTAGCACCAATCAGAACCACACAGCTGGTAGTCTTATCACAGACACCTCAGACCGTAGCATGCTGAGCTTAACCCCTGACTCAGGCTCAATTAGTGGAGGTAAAACTAGCAACAAGAAAAGAGCAGAAAATCAACATGACCCTACTACTTTGGGAAATCGAGATACCCAAGTGACTGACGGTCACATGACCCCGGAGCAGTTTATTCCTAGTCCTGCCATTGGCCAGGCAGTAGAATCTACTGTGAACCCTGATGTTCCCCGGACTGCTGGAACTCCAAGCCTACCAAGTTCTCCATCTATTCCACTGCAGGGTCAGAAATACCTCCCAGCTGCAGGAAGCCCTAGCCCAGTTACTGTGGCAGGACCTCCCCAAGTCACCAGCCCTGCAGTCATTAAGACAGGCCCTGACAAGCTTATTGTGGTTAATCAACAGTTTCAGCCACTATATGTTCTCCAAACTGTGCCGAATGGAGTTACTCAAAAGATTAGTGCTACAGGAGTTATGGATACTAGCTCCTCAGCAGTGCTGAGTTCCATGACATTGACAACAGGTCTGAACACTAGTCTAACTCCAGCTCAGCAAATATTTCCTGCTACAGGGAAGGTTCTTAGCACAGTGGCTCATCCCTCTCAGATTCACACTTTCACAGGACCTGCACAGACAGGATTCCCAACAGGAATCCCCAGTACCACCTCAGGATTGCTTATTGGGTTGTCCTCGCAGCCCCAAGATCAATCCCAGATTCTAGTATCAGAGGCTGGTCGACCACATGAATTTGGCCCAAATCTTACTATTGTTTCCAGTCCTTCTACATTAACGTCTTCATCTATTCTCCCTTCTGCTCATGGGAAGAAAAGACCAATTTCCCGCCTCCAACCAAGAAAAAATAAAAAGCTGGCTCGATCCCGGAGTCAGCCTTCTCTGGCCCGTTCTGATGCACCTCCTCCAAACATGACTCTTATCAACTTCTCATCCTCACAGATTACCAGCATCCCAGGCCAACCTGCTGGTCTTGTTGAGCTCAATACTCTTTCAACATCTCAACGCAAAGTTCCAAACATAATTAAACGGCCTAAATCTGGTGGGGTGATGTATTTAGATCCCACTAGTCTTCTACAGCAGAGACTTCCTCCTACTCCATCTGGGATTTTAGGGCATGATACATCTACCCACCTTTTACCATGTACAGTGTCTAGTCTCAACCCAAGTCAGTCTGTGTTAAATGTTGTGTCAGTGCCCCCTAGTGGAGTACTTGGACCAGGGTCAGTTTCCTTGTCCACTCCTGTCCTGAGCTCTTCTGACATCACAGGGCCTA